CTTTCTTCTGGTCGCAATGATATAAAACTTCTTTGAACGCTTATATTATTGCTTCCTTTCTCGTGATAATGCATTCATAATGTTTGCCTTGTTGCGCTTTCTTCTTCTTGTTCTTTTGTTGGTAGTGTTTCCTCTGTAACTTTACATGAAACAACGTTAGTCATTATGTTGTATTGCAAGCTTATAATACCACTGATGCTTTTGCAGTTGTGCGTATTTTTGCCATGTTGCTCTACATCCGACTATTACTACCATGCACGTTGCTCATGTATATATTGTTATTGCAACAACAACGAGCTTTTTTGAACACCTTTATGTTATGTTGGTTATGCTTTTCTTTGATTCACTTTGTGTGGGTCTTCCTTTTTTGCCTACATATTTCTATACTTCTATAGTACAGTAGTATGTTCTTTTCTTCTTTCGTTTATTACTATGATGCTTCTTTGAAGCATACCTTTTTTACGTTGTGTGGATGTGCCTATCCCTGAAGCTCAACAAGACTTTATCCGAGGCTAGGAGGTAGATAGGCCGCCTCCACTTGGTTATCGCTACTTACTTTAGTGATGATTGAGAGTCTCAATGCCAGAATTTAAAAGCTAGGTGGTGTAAGTAAGGCATGCTCTAGCACCTGGGGGAAATTTGATGATAGCATCTGCTATACTGCTATATGCGGAGCTTAAAATTTTGCCTCACATCAAAACAGGGGGAAACCCTCGCAAAAATTTTTTTTGGTCAGCGGAGTTTTCAAGCAATCTGATTGGCTCAGGGGTTGAAACAACGATGGGCTACAACTGGTTGATTTCCTATTGATCTGTCATGTATTATAATTTTGTATTTGTAATAAAAAGAGTATCAAATACAGTGCGCGAAAAAAACGTTCCAGTGTTTTGCCAAATTGCACTTATAGCCAGTTTTCTCTGCAAATATCAAAGCTACTAAGGTTTGCTTAGTTTCATAAATAGCCTAAGTAGTTGGCTATCAGATGATATATTATGCACTTTATTCACGTAATTAGAAAAAGAATGGTAGCGTCATGAAAAGTGAAAAGTCGAATTTATTAAATTTTATAAAAAAGCTCAATATTTAGTTGGACCACCTTTACTCTTGATAACCGCTTTGATTCGGCGTGGCATGCTGCCTATGCCTTTAAGACAGTCTTCTTTTATGAATTTATACCATTCCTGTTCAATTCTGCCTTCTAGCTCAGAAAGGCTGTTGGCCCTAGTAGGGTACTTGTTCAAACGACGTTTTAGTTGATGCCAGACATATTCAATGAGGTTTAGGTCAGGGCTTTGGGGGGGCCAATCAAGGACACTTTGCACAGAGAATCCGTGATGCGTGAACCATTTCTTAATGGGGCCAGAAGTATGTGGTCTTGCGTTATCTTGCTGGAATCTAAACGTTTTCTTGTCCAGCCAATAGTACCCGATAGTGTCTAGCAAAGATGAGTCCAGAATTTCAGCATAAACTTCTGAGTTAACAGTTCCTTCGGTAATGGTGGAGCCATAGCTGGGTCCCTCCGCTGTTATCATGCCCCAGAAAACAACGCCACCACCATCTCCCTGAACTTGAGCCTCAGTTTGATGAGGCATCAACTCAGTGGGCCTGTCAGTTCTGTAGAAAGATTCGCCGTCAGATCCCCACATGTTGACCCTGGTTTCATCGGAAAATTCCCATTTACGCCAATCGTCCGCAGTCAAATGTCGATGTCTCTTGGCCCACACAAGACGTTTTTTCCGGTTCTCCGCAGACACGAAATTGGTCTTTATCTTTCTTTTTGCCTTGAACCCTTTGCGCTTGAGTATATACTGTATATTCCTCAAAGTCATCTGAACTCCCATATGAGCAAGGTAGCACTGCACACCCCTGGGGCCGTCTAAATTACCATTGCGGAGATTCCTCTCAATGTAGTTTATATTCTGCGTAGTGATTTTGCTGCGTCTTCCGGGTTTGGCATGTTTTGAATGACCAAGGAACTTCTTCCTGTGGCGAGAAAGTACACTGACGGACAAATCTGGGAAGATTTTTTGAATGGCACGGAGGGAACAACCTTGGTTGAAAAGAGCCTTGACAGATCCTTGAACCTCCTGAGGAATGGGACGTGTCATGTTAAAAAAAAGTGATGAAGTAAAGATTGATGAATTCGTAATAATAAGTCGATGATAATAATCAGTTGTCAACTGTATCTAAAACGAAAGCAAAGAGCTTCTTTATTACAGGGCATCTAGCTTGCTTAAATATGGTAGATCCCTGGTCAATGACTACTACGTTGAGATGGTATATAAATAGCAGGCCACTGGGGCCTTATAGATTGTTGGTATAGCTTGTTGAGAGGCCACCTAAGTCGATATGTTTCATGTAGTGTAGGTGGATCTCGATATCTTGACATTGGGGAGATTGAATGTATTGTAGTTCCTGAGGCACCTGTGCATACACAATTGACTGGACTTGTAAACATAGATGTGATGTGATACGATAAACATCATCTATGCTGCTACACTGTAAAAGGTGGCTTGAGGAGAAAGTGAATGTAGCCTAAGATGCATGCTTGTATGCAACCAAGATGGTAAAATATAATGAGGGGAAAGACCAAAATCTCACGCTTCTTTATACTTTTTTAAGCATTCTTCGGATAACTAACATTTTAAACATAAATGATATAAAAAATTGCGGCTCTCGAATCATTTTCGTGGAATGTATACAAACAATAAGGTCATCAAGCGATATTTCCAATTTTACAAAATCGAAATTTTTTACTTTACGTCAGTTGCACTAGCTCAATATCTACTGTATCAATTATTTTAGTAGCTCATTTTGTGGCTAAAAATCCAAGCTTTTGTAGTCTTACTTTAGTTTTAAAACTGGAGAAAATTTGACAGAGCTGTAAGTGTAAAACTACGAATTGGCAAAACACTGGAACGTTTTTTTCGCGCACTGTACTTGATATAGCAACTAATAATCAGATCAATGCCTGCTATCAATTTCCAGAACCTTCGAGTATACGCTGGCGCCTTTTAGTCGCTTTCTTCAAATCTGGCTTAAACCTAAATTTAGGCACGACAAATCTGTCAGGGTTGAAGGGTATTCTGACAGTGATTTAGAATTGTAGGATATTATTGACACGCTAAACACAAACAAGAATAAGAAGCGCAGGTTTAAACCTAGAGCGCCAGCTACCAGGAACATCAAATAGCGATTAACATGGATAGCACACAACATTACACAAACTATATTGGATAAAACCAATATCCAAATCTAATAGTAATAAAGACATCTTTTTATCCATTCAACTAAAAGGCTATAACATCTTCCTGCACACTCTTCATATCGACCTCCTTATATATCTCGATCAGATCTCAAATTGCATATACTACCTCTATGTATTAGCATGTGGCAAATTTGATAAATATCAAACTCTCTATAATGATTACCTTGGTAGTTGGTAATCAAGATATAAGTATTGTTGTGTGGAAAGGAAGACTGTAAGAACTATCCCAATAATTATGAGAGATGAATTTAAGGGTTCTTTAGGTTTGTTCGTACTAGATTGGCACTAGTAACTAAACTCCAGATTAGAATAAGAAGAAAAAAATGGATAATGTTTATTAAGATGCAATTCAAAATACTATTTATATATATGTCATTGTTCTATTGTTATTCTCCTGTCAGGCTCATTCTAGATCCGAATGTCAGTGCCCTTATCAAATGTAACCTCAAATTGGATTGCCTTCAATTTAATGTCAATTTCATGTACCCGCGTTCTTGAGTCGATCCTATCGTTTAAAATAGTAACACCCCAATTCCATTGTTGTAATTCCACTTGAATCTTGCATCGATTCGACATTAATTGGTTTGCATCTATCCTGAGTCAAAGTCCAGAGTCAAATCCACATTTCAAAATAGTAATGCTTGGCTATTAGCGCGCAATCTCATTTAGATCCCTGACTAATTCATCGATTCAACATTATCGGCTCCAAATATTGATTAGGTTTTCGGCTAAACTTGACAAGAAGCACCACGATCAAACGAATATGTAACAACAACAAAATAGAAGCGACACCAATTGAGTAAACACCAACATTGATTAGCAATACACCAAATAGAGACCACATCGACTAGAATAACAGTATCAACGCACCATCAAGAGATAACATACAGTTTTACAACAATTATATGAGTGTGTCAATGCACCAGAACACCACACCAACGAGGAGTAACCCTTCAAGTAAGACATAGTAGATAAGTTAGAGAATTATACCTTGAATCCACCACATTGCGCCTTTTCCATATACGGTATATTGCCTTTTTAGGAAATCGAGATAGAGCCAAGTAACCAAGAGAAAGATACACACGTATCAAATCATCAAATGGAGGCGTAGCTCAGCGGTAGAGCGGCAGATTGCAAATCTGTAGGTCCCGTGTTCAATCCACGGCGCTTCCTTTCTTTTTTACGACATTCTGGATCATAGTGTACGTAGTCTTTTTTTTTTTTTTTTTTTTTTGCGGTTCTATAGAGGAGTATGCCAAAGCAGATTCGTCTACAGAATGAGCACCAGGTTTATAGTTGCCCTGCTAAAGTAAAAAAATAAGTAGAAAAAAAATAGAAAAATAGAAAGTAATACAGAAATGTGTATAAAAGAGTACACAATGAATCTAGTGTTGAGTTGGTTGAAATAGGTTGTCTAATGTGTTAATTTGATTGTACTGTATTGATTTGCTTTACTTGAGAGATTGATGATAATTTGCTGAAAGTTAGTAGTAAAAAGAAAAGGAGATGTAGTTACGATGTCGGTTCGTAGTAAGGTATGAAGTTGAATAATTTTATCCAAACCCCCCCCCCCTTTTAAGCAATGGGATAGATTTGAAATGCCAGACTCTTACTGTTTTCTAATGTTAAACGATACGAGCGATCGAAAATTGAATATAAGACAAACTCTTCATACTGATGTTTGCTGCTTATTTTTTTATTCAGACTATCATACGATGCATATACATTGAATTTAAATAGGTATTAAACGAGTAACACGCCCCAGACACTTTGATTTGCCTTGCATAAACAAAATTTGGGCACCCAAACGCAAGTAGCAAGGCTCATACATAAATTTGAATCTGCATCTGCCTTGTTGACCCGATACAATAACGTTAGAATTGGAGAGACTCGACACAGATATGGTCAAATCTGCCATATCTGAGGATACCTGTTCATCATCGTCCTCATTAGATGTATTCAATGATGACCTGATGACTCTTGCATGTTGTCGTATCGACCCTGAATGAATCATGCCACAGGTACCTGTGGAGACGCCGGTTGCATGATAGAGCACCATTAAGTCAGCTTCAAACTCCATGTAACTCTCAGCCTTATCTGATCCAAGCAACACCATTCCCTTATGTAATTTCCAGTCATCCAGATCCCCCAATGCAAGCGTCGCTGTTTGTCCGCAGTGAACAAAAGGCACTGCCATCCGATGGCGATGAATAGACTTGACTTGCACTTGTATGAATTCACCCCCAGCGTTTGGACCTAAATGGTAGGATTGCTGATCTCTGATGCTAATTCGGCCCTGACAAAGGACACCACCAACCACAGTTCCGACATCTGCTTTTCATTTAGAATGGTACAATCAATCTAAAAGGAGGGTTACGTACCTGGCAACGTGTATACATCTTCAATCTGAAATTCTGCAGGCTCTTCCAACAAGTCATCGTAATCTAGTCGAGTTGGCTTTGGCAAATAGTTGAAAAACTTGATCAATAAGTTCATATTCGAGCCCGAGACATTAGACACCATGAAAATAGGTAATTCGGGCCCTCGTCTGCTGGCGAAAAGAGAAGCACAATTCACCACATCATTCTCACTCTGCACTACCACAGGCACCTTCTTCATCCAAGGTGATTTCAGTATGGCCAATAATGAGCACAAGGTTCGCCGCAGTTGATCTTGTGTCGCTAAATCAGCCTTTGTAATGACGACAAAGACAGGTACGTCCAACATGACGGCAATTGACAAGTGTTCTCGGGTCATATCAGAAACACTACCCGCATTACCTGCAATGACCAGACACGCATAGTCTGGCGCATAACCCATGAGGCCCGAAATGGTGGTACGAAGATACTTTGGATAGCCACATGTATCGAGAAAGGTGATGATTTTGCTACTGCATTCGCAAACATGCTCCCAAGTGCTGATATTAGTGGAGGCGTAATTGATCAGTTTTCCCTCAGAGTCGTATCCAATGATTTCGTGTGATATAGATGAACTTCTGCCTGACTCCAGCTCATGTCGATGCCGCAAGAGATTCAATCTTGCTCGTCCTCGGCCATTATCTTTAGCTCCATGTGATAAATGTCCTAGCAATGTAGATTTGCCAGCCCCTAATCCTCCTACTAATACGATACGCAGATCAGTGAATCGCTGGCTACCATCTTCACTGGGCCTCTTTCTGACTAAAACCTCGGCTACTTTATGCTGTGTCTTTGATTTGTGAATCATGGTGTCGTTCAAGGTGAATTCTCTCATAATGGACACATCCGCATCAAGTGCTTTTGCCATTTTTCGTAATGTGTTGATTGACATTTCCATTTCTTCAATAGTTAAGCCTGTTTTAAAAGGTATTGATATCATATCGATCTTGCAGTAAGGATCTGGGAGGTCGCCTACCTTTGATGGTGCCATCATCGTCTACCCCAATTTCATACAATGCTTCTCCGTTTCCTTCAGATAACCTTTATGCTTCCATGTTAATTGTTGGATAAAAACTAAAGCATCAATTAAATTGCTTGCCTCCATTTCATTTGTGTGATGAGATGCTCTAAACGCTCAAGAGACGGATTGATCAACTTGAGCTACGAAATCAAAAAAATGTCAATAATGGTCTTTTTTTCTTTTGCATAATAAAGAGGCCATCTTTACCTTGTATTCTATATTTCCTTCATCATCTATTTCTGGGGGTAATGTGCCATTAGGATAACATTTTGTTAATAAAGATATGCCAGACTCTATCGAGTCTTTTGCCATTTGAATAATTGTTTGTGAATTAAAAGATGAAAAAAGCAGAGAAATGCTACAATGTGAGCCCTATGCTAAGTTCGAATGTTCTGCGTATTTTTATAGGCCGGACTGTTAAGAGCGTACAAGGAGCATTTTTTACGCAGCATAAAGATGTGTCTTAGGTATTACTCACAATGAATAACGCATCTCATGATGCGCAATTTACATACAAAATATGTGGGCCCACAATATGAATCAAACACTGATTCTACAGTCTACTTTGAGCTTGTTACAGCGAACAATGCATTGTAAGGAAATCAGTAAATGTAGATACTACAAGAGCATCGCTTTTTATTATGCTATTTTTCTGTTTTGCATGAATAGATTTAATAGCCATGCTTGGAATCAAAGTAGTTTGTAGCTGCGGACATGGTCATGTTGGTAATCAAATCCCGTTTGTGCTCATTATGCTCAATTTCGCCCTCTGCGCCTCGTTCTTGGAGCAACTTGACAAGCTATATTGCACAAACAAGCAATTGCATCAGTAAACATGCCTGTATTCTTAGTGTTCTTGGGATTACCTCTTTGGCAGCGTAGCTAGCAATGAATTTTTTGGCAGTAGCATGGTGTACATCTTTTCCGTCCTCTTTTTGCTTTTGCTCCCAAACATTGACAGCTTCGTAAGCAGCAGCAGCAGCAATGAGTTCGTAGCTAGACAAATGTGAGCTTGGGTGTACTATAATGTACATTTAAAATGGAATAACCTACCTCGCCTTTGGCTTTTTCTCCTTGTAGACCTTCTTGTTGGCTTCCTCCAATTCTTTTTCGGATAAAACTTCACGTTTCTTGTGTCCCCAGCCCTTCCAGTTACCAAACCAGGCCTTCATACGTTCGCGCTTACCATCATCTTCGTCTTCGTCATCAGAATCAATTTTTCGAGGGGGGTCAGCCAACTCAATAGTCCAAAGTTGGTTTTTAGCTTCTTCTAAAGGCTTCTTTTTGTAGATCATGACACGAGCATCTTCGTTGATGTCTTCGTGGCGGATATCAACCACCAAATCAGGATCGGATAAAGCATAGATATAGCCGGTCTCGGCATCGTATCCGAAGCGTTGATCGTTGGCCTAGTGATATGACATGAGCCTTTTTGCTCTCTGTTAATATGTATCAACTTACAGCATCTTGCTCCTTCATTTTATCCAAGTAGAGGCGGCATTCCTTTGTGAAAATAGCTATTCAATACTGTTTAGTAGTGGACAGATCAGTCTATATCAGACGAGATTACTGTACCAATAAAGCTTTCAGCCTTGTTGATGTCCAAAACCAGGCCTGTTAATTTGTTGGTCAAAAAGCCATTTTGATGGATCCAAAGCTGACTATCTCTTTCAGGGGAAACAGGCTTCTTGGTTGCCATCACCACTTTGGAAGAGATCTATAAAAGGGACATCACTCAGGAACATGTCATGATCATTAGAAGATCAGACTTACCGTGGCCTTGTCAGGATCACCTCGAATATCAAGGACGAGTTCATTTAATTTGGATACAATGTAAAAGTATCCTAAAGGAAAAGCAGAATTCTCAGGTACAGTCATCTTGTGTTTTTTTTTAAAGTGATTTAAAGAAAGAAAGTAGCGTAAGGAAAAATGCCAAAAGGGTATTTATATAGAAAAAAGACGTATTGTGGCACATCGTATCTAGCTAAGCCAGCAAGAAATAAGTTTATAATGATGCAGCAGTATACTTTGCCTCGATGATATAGGGTTTAAATCGTTTGTGATTCCAAATGATGTATTCAGATACATACACACTAAATAAGCATGTTTCACAACCTTTCATCTTCCTGCCTGCTTGAAGCTCAGGGGGGACAGAGGTCCGGACAAGTCAAATGTGACTCCAAGCAGAAACATTCAAAGGTCATGTCGCGTTGTACGTGGTGTACCGCGTTTCTCCTTTTCTTCAATTTATCATGTACATCCAACAGGTAATAGCAGCACTGCCACAGATTCATGCTACACGGTGCAGTAACACTCGGTTAGGTTATCATACAAGGATTCAAATCCTACAAGGATCAAACGGTCATTGACCCCTTCAGTCCCAAGCACAATGTCATTGGTAAAGAAAAGAAGTTGTGCTTCTCTGAAACTGACGTCTGACACACATTTGCTCTTGTAGTTGGTAGAAATGGTTCTGGTAAAAGTAACTTTTTTGCAGGTAAGCAGAGCAATTCATTGCAGTGTGATGGCATCCTCACCAGACAATGACACCCGTAGCCATCCGTTTCGTGCTGGGCGATGCCTACCAAAGTTTGACCAAGGAAGAACGCCAGGCTTTACTCCACGTATGTTGATTACATCTGAGCAACCCCAAAACACACACACACATCTCATACATTTTTATAGGAAGGTGTTGGAACAGCTACCATCTCTGCCTATGTTGAGATCATTTTTGACAATGCCGATAACCGTTTTCCTGTAAGTTGACACAGACAAATATAGCCAAACAAATCAGCCAACAGAACAACACTCTCATAGACTGGCAAAGAACGAGTCGTCTTACGTAGAAGCATTGGTTTAACATTGGATGAATACTCGCTTGATGGAAAAGCTACTAGCAAATCTGATGTCAACAGCTTTTTAGAGAGTGCAGGCTTTTCTCGCGCCAATCCCTACTACATTGTGCCTCAAGGACGAGTAACATCTCTAACCACTGCCAAAGACGAAGATCGTTTGAAGCTAATCAAGGAAATTGCTGGTACTCGTGTCTATGAGCAAAAAAGACAGGAGAGTTTTAAGTTGATTCAAGAAACCGAATCCAAGCGTGAAAAGATTGATCAAGTGCTGGTATACATTGAGGACAGATTGGCTGAATTGGAGGCTGAAAAGGAAGAGCTTTCTGAATTCCAAGAACTTGACAAGGATCGTCGTGCTATTGAATACAAGATTTTGACCCGTGAAAGTGCTAGTGCTGGTCGTAAGTTGGATGATTTGGAGGAAGAGAGACGAAGACATATTTCCACCAGTGATGGTCTTCGCGAAAGTCATGCCAAGAACGAGAGCACAGTTCAAGTAAGCGCACAGATAATTGACCCTGGGATTTGACATCTAATATATACGCCTTTTAGCAACACACTGCCAAATTGCGTGAGATCCAACAAAATGTCCAGTTGTACGAGGCTGAAAAGAAGGATTTGCAAGATGAACGTGAATATTTGATGAAGGAGAGAGCTCAACTCGAACTTGCTGTCAAGGATCTGGAGGATTCTCAAATGTCAGAAGAGCAATACAAGGTAAGAAAGACGCGCTCAAAACGACACATACTGTGATTTAATGCCTGGCTGTAGGCTGTGATGGAGACTCAATTGAAGCAACTCGAGGACGAAATCAGCGCTAAGCAAACTCAAGTGGACGAAATCAAGCCTCGGTACACGGAGCTCACTGAGAAAGCACAGCAGTTGCGCGTGCAAATGAGAACACTGCAAGCTGAACAACAGCACATTTACGCCAAGCAAGCCCGTGCCTCCAAGTTTGCCAACAAGAACGAACGCGACGTTTGGTTGGTCTCTCAAATTCAAGACATTACAAATAATTTGACCACGCGCCAACAGCAATTAGCCAACTTGGAAGCTGAAAAAACCTCTGCTGAACAAGATTTATTGTTGAAAGCTCGCTCTATTCAAGAGATCAGAGCCAAGAATCGCAGTCGCTATGAACAAAGAGAGAAGCTGGCCAACGAGGAGATTCAGCTCAAGTTGGAACGTGATGAAGCAACAGAAGCAAGAAAGGCGCTTTGGCGTGAGGAAGCTAGAATGGATTCACTCCTTCGCAACTGCAAAGATGAAATTCACAAAGCTGAGAGAACATTGGCTCATTCAATGGACAAGAACACCAGCATGGGTTTAGCTGCTGTGCACCGCATTGCTAGAGAATATGGTATCAGTGATCGTGTCTATGGCCCCGTATTTGAGTTATTTGAAGTCATTCCTGCATTAGAAACAGCTGTTGAAGTTGCAGTAGGCGCAGCTCTGTTCCAAGTGATCGTCGATACTGATGATACCGCATCTACTCTCTTGGAAGCCATGGGAAATCAAAAGTCTGGCCGCATCACATTTATCCCTTTGAACCGTGTCAAGCCTAGACAAGTGGAATACCCTCAAACGGATGAAGCTACGCCTCTCATCGGCCAACTGCAATATAACGCCAAGTATCAAAAGGCGTTTGAGCAAGTCTTTGGCGGCATCATTTTGAGTCGCACATTGGAAGTGGCTACTAGTCTTGCAAAGGCCCATCAACTCACTGTAGTTACTGCTGAGGGTGATCGTGTCGATGGCCGCGGTGCCATTACTGGTGGTTATATTGATACCAAGCGCTCTCGTTTGAATGCTGCCAAAAAGTTCAGAACCTGGCAAACAAAGTTGGAACAAGAGCAGCAACGTGGTCAAGAAATCAAGCAACAGATTGTCGACATGGATCAAAAGGTCACTCGCATCATCAGTCATTTGCAAGTGTTGGAAGCTAAGAAGAAGAAGTTGCAGTTTGTTGACGAAGCACAGAACATGGAGGCTAAATTGAGAAAGGAGGAGGATCTGCTCCGAAGTGTGGTGACTCAAAAGAGCAGAGCCCTGGAGAATATTCGTGTCCATGGTCAGTTGCTGGAGAAGCAATTGGCAAGCTATCAGAATGAGCTCGCCTCTGAACCTTCACAATTGCTGCTGGCCGAGGAACAGGAAATCCTGACCAGAAACACTGCTACTATTGAACAAGTTGGCCGAGAATTGACGGAAACCAGAAACATGAGACTCCAGGTACAGCGGAACTTGTAGGGGTATATAATATCACTCACTGACTTTCTCATAGCTCGAGGAACGTATCCAAGCATTGACAGACAGCTTGAACAATGATCTCTTGCGCAAAAAAGAAGAATTAACCAGCAAAAAGAATCGTGTGTTGACACATGGCAGTTTGGATGATCTAAAGCGATCTAAATACGAACTCAAGTCAGTGACAAAGAAACTGGTCGAACTATCAAAGCGTATTGGTGAACTAGACAACCAGATCGATCAGCTGCATGAAGATGATGTCAAGATCCACACTGTGTTGGATCAATCAGTTGTAAGTCATGTGTCAATGTGGATGATCATCTTTGATTGACACTATTGGTGTATAGGAAATTCAACGACGCATCAGCCAGGCCATGAGCAACGAGGAAAAGAGACTAGAAGAAAATCTGCTAAAGAGATCATTACTACAACAAAAGAAGGAAGAATGTAATGCCATCATTCGTGATCTTGGATTCTTGCCTGACGAAGCATTTGAGAAATACAACAACTATAAGCTCGAAAAACTGTTGAGACGTCTGCATCGTGCTAACGAGAAACTCAAGAAATTCAGTCATGTCAACAAAAAAGCATCTGAACAATACGGTAGATTTACCAAACAACGTGAGCAACTCAAGGCTCGTAAAGCAGAGCTCGATCAAACACATGAATCTATTGGCACATTGATTGACTCCTTGGATCGTCGTAAGAATGAAGCCATTGAGCGTACTTTCCACAATGTTGCTGGCAATTTTGCAAAAATCTTCGAGCTGCTTGTACCTGCTGGTAAAGGTGAACTTGTCATGCGATCCGATGTAAGTTCTTTGCTATTTCTAATTCAATACCCATGACTTACACATATGACAGACGCAAGGTATGGATGTAGATGGTGCCAACAGTTCATCATCAGTGGATCGCTATATCGGTGTTTCAATCAAGGTTGGTACCTGAATTTATTTCCATCGCCGACATGTCCAGATCACTAAACTAAGCTTTTGAATCATGTAGGTGTCATTCAACAGCAAATCGGATGAGGGCATGATCATGCAACAGTTATCTGGTGGTCAAAAGTCGCTTGTTGCTTTGGCATTAATTTTCTCAATTCAAAGATGTGACCCTGCACCGTTCTATTTGTTTGATGAAATCGATGCAAATCTGGATGCACAATACAGAACTGCCGTCGCAGGTAAGTTTTGAATATTGGAGGGCAGTGTTGGTTTTTTCAAATCAAGTTAACCTTTGTCTTGTTGTAGATATTATTCACAAAATGTCAGAAAAGGCACAATTCATTACAACTACCTTTAGACCTGAATTATTAGCGAATGCAGATAAATTTTATGGCGTTACTTTCTACGGCAAGGTATCTCGTATTCATGCTATTCTCAAGGAGAATGCTCTTGGATTTGTTGAGCAAGAATCAGCCAGATGATAAAGTCAAGTGTAACAGCAATAAAAAGGATAAATAGGATAGGTATATTTATTGATAAACAGAATAATTTTTTTTGGGTTTTGTTGTTGCTGTTGAATATTTACATAAAGATGATGGCACCTGTTCTTTCCTTTTCATTGATAAACTCAAAGGGAATAGCCATGACCAACAGGTTTTCATTATTATCCTCCATGAGGGCGTCTTGATCTTCTTCTACCATTAGCTCATCAAAGCAGGCATCTAACCAGCCTTGCTCTTCTTGTATGGACTGGCTTGTTGTTATCAGATTGGAGGATAGAATCAGCACATTTCGTATGAGTAATTGATGTCGTAGAGTGTTTTTTGAAGAGTTTAATTTGTAGACTGATATTTGGGCCAAATGATAAAGGTTTTCATAGTATTCTTGTTGTTCGGCTTGATTCATCTCATCATAGGTTGATTTTTATATTTACAAGAGAAATAATAAAAATGAAGAGAAAAGAGAGAGAGAGAAAAAAAAGAGATGGAAGATCACACTGTTTATATAAAGACCCAACGAAAAAAGGAGGGGATCATCATTTCTTATGGATCGTGATATTCATTTAATTCAAGTTTTGTGTTAATTGTTGCTCATCTTTACACAACATGATTCGCTCACACTTATCAACATCATTGGTTCTTGCTAAACTTTATACAATTTATTACTTTTGCGCATTTTTGCAATGGAAATGCTGTCAAAAATTAAATCTCCCTCGTAGTTTTGCTCTCATTTGGCACCTTCATTCATCCTTTACGTGCCACCATCACGCATTTTCCAACGGACCCCTTTTTCGCTAGTATACAAGGATGGGCTCGAATGGCGTAACTTGTAGAGCAGTTCCTCTCCTTTCACCCACTGGACAGAGAGAGAGAGAGAGAAAGAGAGAAATCAGTCTTTTTATTTTCTCACGTGTGCTGCTTCTTCAATTGGTTCAACCCCTTATATTTCTGTTAATAATACGTCCACCAATTCCAATTCTGATAACAAATAAATATTGATAAAAAGATAGATAAAGCAATCCAGAATGGAGAATGAGTCATGGGGTATATTTGTGTTGGCCTCATTTGCTGGTCCTGTGCTGCTGATGGCTGCTGTAATGGTTGCTGCTGCTGCTGTTGTTGTTGGTACCTGATAAGCAGTTTGTTGCTGCCGTCTTGTTGAACAAGTGCATTGATTTCTTTCAAAATCAACTCGCTTCGTCTTTGTTTGCTTGCTAATTGAAATTCCTGTCTCAGCTTCTTTTCTTGAAGCAGCATTTCCTTCTCCATACTATGACGTCTTTTGCTCACATATTGTGATATGCGAATGTTGTTCTTTTGCTGTTCCTGCTGCTGTAATGAGGAGGATGACGATGCGGTGGTTGTAGTGGTGGATGACGATGAATTGGTCGAAAATGAGTTGCATAAATGCTGTCTCCATGCGATGAATTTCTGCGTTGTGTATAATCTGAGTGATTTGGATGAGAGGAGGGCCTGTTTCAGCGGCAGTAGTCCATGGAAAGAGGATTTTTTGCTGGTAGACCAGTCCAACACAAAAGGAGGACAATGCGGGTTCAGCGAAGGCTGTCTACATGCACCAAGTAGATCTTGAAATGATTTGTAACCAAGGTAACTGAATTTAATCGAATGGCTGTGCATAACGTTCAGGATATCAATCCTTTGCTCGATCATTGCTTCAGGTCTAAGAGAGAGGTCAGGCTGTATGATCACGGGTATAATGTTGACCAGGTCATGAATCGATCGCATGTATTCCACATCGACAGGCTTCAGACGACCCATTATGAGGTAAAGACAGGCATCAACATGACAGAGTACATCACTGGACTGATGTACCATGAATGACAGCAGTTCGTCTTGTATGTTGGTATTAAACAAGTGTGTTGTTTTCTCAAATTGTGTTTCAAGATAAGATTTTACATGCGAAAACACAATTTCAGCCTAATCATACAATAATACAAGGCATTAAAATTAGGAATTGAAATATACACACACCAGCATGTGTGCGATTTTACCCTTAATAATGCACCGTAACCACAAGTATCTATGACACATAAATCTGCATCGATGGATAGTACTTCAATAGGCTCTAGCACTGGGTTGGCGACATGGCTGTCCTCCTCCTCGGGTAGTGGTAATGTAGATGTTAGAGCATGGACCAATGATGTCTTTCCAATGCCTTAAATTCAAATAGTTTCAATTAAAATGGCTTCATATCATGGTGAGAGCATCATCATTACCTGAATCACCACAGACTATCATCCGGAGTTTATGGTGTGTTTGATCTAGTGATTTGACCTTTGGTACCACCCATTCGCTCATGCCATTACTGTCACATTGACGTTGTGTTGATGGATGCTGCTGCTGATGATGCTTTTGATGCTGGTATAGTTGTTGCGATGTGCTGCATTTCTTTGGCTCGATAGTATCGCTCATGCTGGTAATACCGAAATCGTTCTCTTTTGTTTGCTGGTGCTGCTGATGGTCGACAGATGAAATTGACATGAATGTAGATGAAATGCAATTTTGTTGGTAGAAATGCTTAAAATAAGGGGAAAATTCGTCTAGAGATAAAAAAGAAGTGATAAAAATACAAAAAAAAAGGAGGGAGATTTATATGAATAACATTGCAAATCACATGATTGAGGCAAATGATCACACGCAATCAAATAAAAGCACACACATCCTTTTAGTTTTTATTGATGGATTCTTTGATATTGTCAACAACATGCTTGTTCCATAATTCAATTGCCTTGGATCCAATGTCTACCTTGACCAAAGATTGTGCAGCATTCATGATTTGTGTGTTCCAGGAATCTTTTACTATACACCCGGCATCAGTCTCTCTGACTTCCCTCTCTCAACACACAATCAGCACATGCTTACCTGATGGAACTAGTCGGTTGGAAACGTATTTCTGTGAGTCGGATAGGTAGCTTCTACTGCTGCCAAAAGTAGGTTCAATCACTGCTTTATCAAGTGTGGATTTGGCATCTTCCAAGCGAGTTTTAATGTCATTTTGATCTTGTAATAAATCATTTCTGAACTTGTATGTGATGGCTGAAGCGACAGCTAATCCTGTAATCAATGGCACAAATCTAGGCATCTTTCTATTTTGTAATTGTTGTTTGAAAGAAAGAAAGAAAAAAAAAAAAAAAAAAAAAAAAAAACTTGTATCAATACAGGTCCCGTCCCTCCTCCTCCTCCCTCCATCTTCTTCAATGGTGGATGAACCCTAAATTATTTTTACTCCACACCCATTTTTGATGACGGCATCTCGGTGCCTGTTGAATTCCACTTCATCTTGTCAAAAATCATGTTTGTATTACCTGTTACAAATGATGGATGATGATGAAAACGATCATCTGTCGAGCAGGCAATCTCAATTGACAGTCAAAACATGGATCGACACATGTACCTTACTGGAATAGCATGACTCATTTCATGCCGAAATAGTCTAATTCTTGTCCATAAAAGACGCAGGCATCTGCCAGTGACACATTTGGATGCTTTTGTAATTGTGAAGGACCGTGCTCTATTCTGAATTCGTCAGCCAAGCATTGTTCCATACAATGTCAAACATTGCTCATGCTATTTTGAAAGATGGCTTTCAAATGAGCTCATCATTGTGCATTGCTGAACATTCAGTTTGAAGATCAAGTGAGCCTGAAATCACTTTGAATGTCGATTGAAACCCACTAGAGCGTTTATTGATACACATCTAATCTTTAGGGCAAGTGGAGCACTCTTCGGCAGCAGCAGGTGTTTCTTGCTTTGGTTGATCTGTTGATTTACGGTCAGAATGGCCTAGTGATCTCTCTGGCACAATGATGTCTCTGACAAGTTGTTTCTAATACATCTGTTAGTAAATTGTGATACAACCCATGTCCATCTCTAGCTACCAATTCCTTCATCTCGGGAAACCTGTGTGTGATCTTTCTGTCCCAAATAACAGCTGCGAAATGTAAGCGCATCTTTCAAATTGATGTGCAAATCAGCACTACTTACTGTCGTTTACTTTGACAGTGAAGATGCCAACACCTCCTGGTATTAAAGCAAATTCTCCAATCTCATTCTCAAATGTAGTAAGTAGTTCTTGTCCCATCCAAGCTATAAAAAAGGTGGTGAGCCATCTATTGCCTACTGAAGCTTTCAAGTTGCTATACCTGCACGCATCATCCAGCGACATTTAGGGCAGTACTATGATAGTCATTAGCTCGCAGTAAGCATGGTTAGCACATGCCGCATACCTCAATAGACACTCTTGGTTTGGCAACTTGTTCAGCCATATTTTATAAATGTTGATAGGAAGAAAGCGGAAAGAAGACATCTCTTTCGCATTACAGATTTCATGCTCAACGAAGAATCTTACGGGTAGGGTGTGTGTGTATGTGTGTGTGTGTGTGTGTGTGTGTGTGTGTGTGTGTGTGTGTGTGTGTGTGTGTATGTCTGTCAGCCCAAACAGTCCCCCAAGGGTCTAAATCAATTAGCATCAAAATGTGTATGCCAATTACTCCACATTTTCTCTACTCTTATCCACGCAATGACCCTGAGAAGAGTGTTGACTAGAATACCTATCACTGCTAGAGCCAAACCTGTAAATACTGGGGCAGTAGCTCGATTGCCACTACCACAACGTGGCTTTGCAACAGCAAGCCGTCGCACAGCAGCCTCCACCTCACCTCGGCATGAACAACCACGTCGTCCATTGCATATCCCTCCTTTGCCAGTCGCCTTGATCAGCGTTGGCTTCATCTGTTTAGGCGTCGGTTTGTACGAGTATCTTACATCTGATATCCAGAAGTTCCCAGTTCCTGTACGTCAAGCTCTCAGAAAGGCCCTCTACTATCAACAAGACAAAGATTTAACCCTGGCACTAAAATACTTTAACGAAGCACTGCAGCTAGCTTTGGAATCTGATGAATTGGAAAAAAATGGCGCCCCTCTTACTGGCATTATGATTCAGCTGGGTAGTTTGCAAGAGCGTATGGGTCGTTTGCCAGATGCCAGGCAGACATTGACATTGGCTCTACGCCATTTATTGGGTTTGCATGATTCTCCCAGTGTGGATGTGTCTAGCAAGGATCTCTCGCAATTCACCCCTATAGAGCAAAAAAAAGCAGTAGGAATAGCGCAGAAGTTGGGCGATATCACTTCATCTATGAAATGGGATGATGAGGCAGAAAAGTGGTATGTTTGGTCTGTGGAGCATCTGCTAAAGTCGTCATCCAAGCCTAAATCAGCATACGGTGATTCGACTGAACTGATTTTCGATCAAGAGCATATGCCAGATTGGTTGACCAAGACAGACATTGGCGCTGCTATGGAAGCATTGGGCGGATTTTACGCCACAAGAAAGAAGCCAGAGTAGGTTTAGAGTATAGAGGGCAAGGCCAGCTTGCTCACAGTATTACATAGGCTGGCCATTCATCTCTATCTGAGAGCATTGACATTGAACGGAATGCAATCGTGTCAGTCTGCTGTGCTGATGAACAATTTAGCAGAGGCATATGCCAGTATAGGCCATTTCGATGACGCGAAGCTTTGGGGACAACGAGGACTGGACCTAGCACAAAACCCAAATACAGGCAGAGCGAACAAGGATGGGGAAATCTGTAACGAGACATGTGGAGTGTTACTATTCAACATGGGCATGTTGTTCGAGGTAAATAGAAGGTTTATCCTCATATATCACCCTATTTACCCTATCTGACATAGCAAACAAAGGATAAAGCCAAAGCACTGCAGTTTTATGCAAGCGCAAAAAAGCATGGCCGAGATCATAAACAGCCAGAATGTATCAAAGAAGCTGACAGAGCACTGAAGCGTATAGAATTCGAAAAAGTACGAGACGAATAAACGCTTCTTTTAACGGGCAAAACTGTTCCATTGTCTTTTATTCTTGAGAAATACCTCATCTTCCTTTTGGTATTTACACAGTGAATTGGAGATCAACATTTCATCAAAATATTTGAATGCTGCTGGCGTAATTGTGGTTTCAATCTGATCATTTGATGGATTCAGCAGTTTTAAAAGGTTGTAGGCTTTGCTGTTGATAGCAGGAGGGGTATAACTGGAAATGTTTTCCACAGAAGGGATCCTGCTATGTGGTGCTTGAGGTGCCAGGTATTCATTCAGACGACCAGGATAGAATTTTGTTTCATCCTTGCTTTCAAGAAGGATTGATGGTACACCGAAATCAAAGCCAGTGGAAAAAGGTGAATAATAGCTTGGTTGTTGCTGAACGCAAGGTAGATCCCTTGAACGCAAACGAGGGGACTCGACAGATGCTTGACTATCAGTATCATTATCGCTAAGATGAGGTATATCACAGGTGTCTTCCTCTTCATGGCAGTCTAGTGGTCGACGAAGTGGCAACAAAGATTTAATTTGCAATCTCTTTCTTTTTTCCAAATTAGTAGCATTTATCTGGTCTTGGTCGCAGGTATCAGTAGCACAAGAATCGTTGGCAGCACTAAGAGGAGCCTCCAAAGAATAGCGGCGCTGTTTAGGTGATGCAGGAAGAGTGGCAGTTTTAGACAAGGTAGGCAGAGAGGATCTCTTGGCTTTCTTGCTTTCATAAACAACCCACTCAGACTCGCAGGCTGATGCCTCTGGAGTACGATCCAGGGCCTTGATTTTTGTGCGAGTGATCTGTGGCACAGTGGTGGAAACAGGCTTGGCTTCCAAAGTACGTTTTCTAGGTTTTTGATGATGACATGAACGGGATGTTTTTTTGTGATGCTGCTTTCTAGTGCTGGTGGTGCTGGTGATGGTGGTGGTAATGGCAGTGGCTGCCGTAGCAGGTTGTGCTAATGATGCAAAGCTACCAGGCATTTTATTATTAGTGGCGCCGGTGAAATTAAATTCTAGGCCTGAATAAGCCTGATGTATGTTGTAATATAACTTTTTAAAAGTTAGTTGGTATTTGATTGCAGCCTAAAAACATGAAATGATGACATTAATTTGCGCTCTTGTACCTTTTTTGATGAATGACTTACTTTGTATGTGCAGAGAGAAGCGATAATGAACAACCAAGAAGATGGGATCATCTGCATGTAGGATGCCATGTTGGACATGTTGATTGAGAAATCCACCTCATCATGTAACATGTGTTTCCATTGCATGATGGCATTGACTGGCAGAACCATTACAAGACATGATACGACCAAGACGACAGGAGATGCGATCAAATATAGACCCAGATTGTTATTATTAGACATTATTTTATAAATAGTAGAGGAGAAAGAGTGAAAGAAAGAGAAGAAAGGTGTTGATCTAATGAACAGGAAAGAATCTTTTTCAAAGGTTTAGGCCCATATTTATGTGTCATGAATCATATTAAACAAGCAACTCAGTTGCCTAACTTAGTTATTGTTCTGCAAGGCAAATAAGGAAAGGCAAACAACTGTACTCTATAGAGATTTGAGATGTGGCTGAATATATTATTTTTTTGAGATATATAAATACATCTATTGGATATACATTATAATGTTATACATTTGACAACAAAGGGAGAGCATGCTATTTATTTACTTAAAGTAAGGTAAAATCGTTTTTTATTATTAAACATGTTCATCTCGGTTGAATATATGGGGAGAGGGGGTCCAATTTGTGTATATGATTTCTTGTTATGGTAATCTATCATATAGATCCAGGTTTAGATGAGCCATGGGATGTAAACATATATGAAGTTCATAACTGTTAATTAATTTGATTTCGGAAAATGGGATCAACATCATCTCTATACACAACAAAGAAAGAGTACTGATCATACCCAAATGCCGTCAGCCGTCGTCTTTTTACTAGTTGTTGTTGTTGTTGTTGTTGTTTACACTGATATGAAACATTGCCATAAAGCCACTCTACTATTCCAAGGTTGGTTCACAAGACACTGCATTCTACATTTCTATGAGTTGTAAATAGCAACTGGCGATGAAAATCATATGAGATGTGCAATCTATTTACCCGATGGATTAGCACATTGATCCATTACATCGACGTCAAAATTGATGTTAAACCCCATTGTTGTTAGTGCAAAGTTCGCAAGTGCACTGATATCATAAAAGACATCAGTAACACGAGCGGGAGCAGGTTGCATCCAAGGATAATCGTATAATGATACATGATTCCTCACTAGAGGTGCCATTTAATACATTTTCAAAACTTAGTGTTCTTTTTGTTGTCAAATTAAGGTTGTATCAACGATAGCGTCGTGGACTGAACACTTTTTATTCTCTAAAATAGGTATATTTATAACAACTCATTCTTTATTGCAATTGCCTTCTGTGTAGTGTTAAGTTTCGGAATGCCTCCTATTTGCTTCAGCTCAAAGCTTCAAAAAGGAAAAAAGTTGGCCTTACAAGTATTTTGGTGGACTGGCCTTATTATACAAGAGACTTCAAAAAAAAACTGCATGGCTAACGGTAGTACTATGTAGTTTACCAACTACTTTATATTGGCTTCAAAAGCATCTATTGTTACCTTCATGATGAAAAGGGCATTGAGTTTGCTAGCCAGCCCCACTAGCCGCCAAAGATAATTCAAACCCAGAATCACAGTCTGTTCTAGATTGGCCAGATCTTAACAAATTTCGACTCGATTGATCTATTTTGCAAGATTCGACTATATAAAGTATGATAATCACCCTATGCTTCTTTAAGCTTTCTTGGAGTGCTTTTCAAGGCGCATCCAATGGTACTAAATAAAGTAGAAGTTTTTAATAAACTTATTAAGCAATTTATGAAAACATGAAAAGAGGTTTCTGGCCAAAAAGTCGAAATTTTACATATCAAAGTCTTATAAAGACGATTTCAGGTGTTACGTTGGATCGACAGAAACATTTTGATTTAAGGTATACCATAGTAAAAGTCTTCGTCATCAAAGTGAAAAACGCGATCGTTTGATTTTTGATAAAAACCATGAGGGTTACCTCATGCTTTTTGGTCGATTTTTGGCCATTTTTTTTTGGTCCCCAAAAAGTTGAGCAAAGGCGGTCAGAAAGTAACTGCCAGATGAGGGCAATTGTTTGGTGCCAATATGACAGCCTAATAAAGCCTGCAATGCGAGAAATCAACTGTCGAATACACTCAATTTTTGCTCTATTTAGCATAGTATTGAGTGTTGAGTGGTAATGCAAGTATGCTGTCTGCTCGTAAATGAGATTGTTCCATTAGTGGAGGTGTAAAGCATCGAAAAAGAGCCAAATGCGCAGATCCAGATGAGTTATGGAGGGGTCTGATGATGGACAAACGTATGAAAGTGATAATTTGTTACACAACACTAGAATGACATGTATCAATACTAGGCCAAGAGCATCTTGACGTCGGTCAAGGTCTGTTTGTTTCTTTTTGAGTACACTGGCTGCTCAATCGCGATAATAAGAACCTAAAACCAACAGTAGCAAGCTTGGTTTTGGCTTGGATCGGCCGTTGCCTTGCTTACATCTTGCCTGATTCGCTTTAATCTACATCTTGTGCGAACACTAGCACAAGTTGCCCCTCTAGATATATACATGCTCTACTTGAGTGAAAAATACTCCTTCTTTTTGACCTTTATATGTGTATAACAATGAAATGCATGCAACGTAATTAACAGACTTAGTTTGCGGTCGTAACAAGCATATTAGCAGGAAAAATAGAAAATGCACAATGCACGGTAAGCGTCTTTTCACACTCACAGCAACCTATATTCGCCATAGTACCAAATTATTTTATTATAAAGAGAAGAAGAATCGCGTTTTATGTATATACCCATTGTAACTAGAGATATACCAATCATACACATAACGAATACCAGATCTGTCACAATATGCCCTTTTATCAACCTTAAGCCTTATTCTTCTTTCTTCTACCTGGGTGTGGAGCGCCTTCAACAATTCTTCTTATTAATACAAAAGCGCCTTCAGAGGAAACTACCACATTTTGGATCATATCCGCCATACAATAACCACCCAAATTTGCTTGCCAAAAGTAAAAATCCGTAATAAAGTTGTTGGCCTGATGTAGGTTTTCCAAATCACGTTGGTGCTTCAAAGTAAGTGGATGGAAATCCTGTTCTTTCATAACACCCCATTCTGGATGCGTTGGCTTGTCTGAAGATGGCTGTTGTTGATGATTTTCGGACCAACCCGCCGCCAAACCGCCGTTATTGTTTACAGTAGCAGTGGTGGCTGTAGTACTGCTGTTGTTGTACATGTAGTTTTCTTGATCTTGCGGTTGATACATCATGTTCCATAAGGCAAAAGAGGAGTAAAAACAAAAGAGAAAGAAAGAAAACAAGAATAGGAAAAAGCCAAGGTTATTTATCATTGTTGTTGTTGTTGTTGTTGTTGTTGTTGTTGTTGTAGAGTAGTCAAGTTTATTTAAATTAGAAGGCATTACAAAACCTTATACTAACGAGCGAAAAATAACAAAAAGTATCCCCTAATTTCTTTACTCTCTCTCTCTTTAAATGCGTCATATTTGGAGCTCTTGTCTGGTACAAAGAGGAATCCCCCTTTCTTACAATGTTGGCTCGTGCATCAGATCAGTTACCTTTTTTGATATAAAATGAACAATGCTCAGGTAGCTCATGTCTTCAGTTTGCACGCTGTAGTAGATGCGGTACATGACAAACACAATCCACAAGCTGCTCAGGGCATATAGAATCAGTTTGGTAGTACTAACAGCTGTCTTTTTCGACTTGGTGACAAACTGACGCGCCTTTTGTTTGTGTATCTGTTGTTGCTGCTGCTGATGTGGCTTTCTGCGTCTTGTTGCTGTAGTTGTAGGCTCATATTCTGTGCTTTTGCAGTTGTCATCCTCTTTTTGATTAAGCATGCTGATCAATGCAATGTTGCGCCGCTCTTTATTTGACCGAGTTTTGGCTGCTGATGTGATGGAAGTAGGCAAATGTCGTCGCTGACGAGAGGGGCGCTTCCCCATATCTACTATGGACTCTTGTTCATTCATGCCTGAATGTGATACTGAGAAAAAGGAAAAAGGGGCGTGGGGGCTTAACATCAGCTTAAATTCTGAGCTCAGTGCTAAAAAAAAAAAAAAAATGGCAATGTCTATTTATTTGTTATTGACCATCACAGCAGTAGAAGAGTTATTTCATTGCTGTGTATACATGCTATAGCCCTACCATCTATCTATAAGCCCTGCTGTTATTGCTGAGAGTGTTGGTGTTTTTAATTAAAGATGGGCGCAATCATTAGTAGCATATAAAATTAAATGGCATGAGGATCATGGTTGCCATTTTGACCTTCCCCCCCCCTTAAATTATAGGCTCTCAGCCAGCAATAAGTGTCAAAGACCGTTAAATGGACCTGAGCCATATCGCTCAATCTTCATACACAGAGGAATTGAAGTGTGATACTAATCTACAGCGTGCTCTCCGTATTGCAAAAAAAGAGTATTACAAACAAACTTTTTCCAGAACGTTTGCCCGTGTAACTAGACACAACAAGTGAGGCTGATTTGTTTATGTATTTGGCAATCATTAGGATTTACAGAACTGTTCATGCGCAAACGCCTATTATTTTGTTAAACTAAAAACTAGAGCTATAAACAGGAGGTCTAGAAAAACAGTTTCTGCTCTGCATTATGCTTTGTATACAAATTCAAATATGCTCATCGCATAAAAGCAAGAGAGCATTGCATCAATGTCGAGGCATTGCACTACAAAACCAATCCTAAAGGAATGATAGTCTTAAAACTTGGTCATTTCGTATCAAAACTAACTGAGCATTTGATATTTCAAGCACGAGGAACCAGTTCAGTTTTTCATTTCAAAAAATGCAATGCTTGAATATGCCACAGAATATGCTACTATACGGAAGCATATCAAGTGATACATGTCATTGCGCCCAATGTATTTACTTTACAAGTATGAAACAAAAGCATTCATTCAGAAACAACGATGAGCCATTATTGTTTACCATGGTAGTATAAACGATCGTCAATGTATGTTCCAGAAAGTCGTGTGTTATTTATCGATTTTGTTGAGTCTTGTTTGACAAGTGACGCCAAATGTCTTCCTATTTAAGGGGGGTTTTTTTTTTTTTTTTGCTTTTTGCATACGGCAAGATTTAGTCCAGTATCGCGTTAAAGCAATAATTGAGGCAAGCATGTCATATTGAGTTGGCTGCTGCAATTACAAGCTAGAAAAAAAAAAAAAAAAAAAAAAAACTCGGAGATGGCATGATGATAGAGGGTGGCATGAATACACGATTGAATGAATTGAGAGGGACAATTAAATACTTTATTTATGCTTGTGTGTTGCTGTTGTTGTTGCTGATATAGAGGTGACATATGAGTTATGGAGAGGAAGAAACTTTTGATATGAAAGAGACAATACAGAAGAAAGAAAAAGCTAGGGCATAGTGATAGAAGGGGAACGAAAGAGATGATATTTACATATGATGGATAATCCTTTTTTTTTTTTTTTTTTTTTTTTTAACTTGAGTGGTTTGTGCTTATGAAAGAAAGACATATGGAGTTTGTTCTTGTTCTTGTTGTTGTTATTGCAAAGTTGAAAGTGCTCTGATTAAGAAAGAATGTTGGCAATAGTAGGGCGAGCACGGTATCCAATGCTACCGTTTTGTTACTTTAACAGTGGACATGAGGATCTCTTGTGGCCATATTTGCCGCACCAGGTACTGTTCAAAATGATGGGCATTAGTATTGAAAACGAGTAGAATTATCCATGAGGCAGCTCACCATTGACCACCTTGTAGATTCAACGGTTTAATGTTGAACGACATGTCATTGCATGGGATTTCAGGCTTTGTTGATGCTGCTTGATTAACTTTGATTTCTTGAATAAAAATACACATGGATTTAATGAGACAGTCGAATAAAGAGGCAAGAAAACAAAGATAAAAAGAATATAAGGATGCATTTATATAGACGCACAATTCAATCATTTACATGTAGTTTTAAGGAGGTACTTCATCATCACTCAAAGGAAAGCCCATCAGGGTTGGCGTTTCGTTGACAAATGTCATGGGTTACGTTGACGTGCTATTTCAATTTTGTGTAATTATTATCTACATGCTGCATTGCGTTGATCTCCATGATGAAAAGGCTATATTTGGCTTGTATCGTTCTAATTGACACATTCAATCAACATGCAAAGAGGGTCTAGACGCTCTCAAAACAATATGAAATCAGCAAAATCTATAAAAACAACATTCCCCTTAAAATAACACTCTGGTATATGTGTATTTACAGCTATTCTCAACACATGCCGACCATACCAAAATGAATGGCCAAATTTCCAGCAAGTGCAAGAAACTCATCCAAGCTATTCTGCGGCCATCAACAGATATACAAGCCTTAGCGGGCCTCTTGATCCTTGGAGTAACCAGCCAGGTGGTGATGACCAGCACTAAATAAGGGATACAATGCAGAGCACGACCGATGAAGAAGAACGTCTTTCAATAAGGTTTTATTTTAACTTTTCGTCTATATGGTTCAGGATTTTAATATCTACATGGATACATGATCTAGAACAATTCCGTCTCCCTGCTTCTCTCTACCCACTGTCATGAGGCTGATACATATACACCAAGATCTCTCAATGATAAGGAATCAAGGGGACACTATGGTTCATCCCCCCCAGCATATGTATTTATCTCATGATGATCAAGCTTGATAGGAAGATGATTGCTACTTAGGTTGCATATTTACTTGTACATGAGATGTGTATACCAAAGTCTAGAGCTGTCGAATGTCATGTAATTAGTAAACAAGTTGCAAGAGATCTACATCTTCCCCTCATTCCCCTCTATCCCCCCCCCTGAATTCTATCTTTATACCATTTTCACCATTTGATAACAGACAAGAAAAAAAACATGCCATTTCGAATTCGACGAAAATAGCCCATCCTCCGTTCAATTTCCCCCCTTTTTTTTTGGTACAAATAGTCATGTCAAATGTTGCTGCAATCCAAATGTATGTTTCTGTGCGTTTCCGTGCAAGCTGTGCGTGTGCGTGTGTTTGTGTGTACAATCGCTCGACGATAACAAAGAAAAAAATTTCTTTTTTAATTTTATTAACCATTTGAACTAGAAATGCCCTTTATTCAAAGAGATTTCATATATATATATATATATACGACACGGGGAAGAATGTTGAAAGTTGCTGTGATGGTAGAGGAAGCTGAGCATCATTTAGATGTTCAACTTGGTGTGACGCCAGTTACGTCTCTTAGCGTTCCAACTATGTATTCATGTAAGTATCCATGATCCACTCTCGTCTCATCATCAACAGTATGCACTTACCGGATCTTGGTGTCAGTCTTAAGACGGAACCAGTGAGGCAAAGGACGGTTTTGCTTCTTGGCCTTGCCAAGCTTAACCTTGGTGATGAAAGACTTTTGAGAAGGCTATCAAATCCAAAGGTGTTAATATGATTTCTCGGTCGATCTACACATCCATCAATCGTTCCTCTCGAATCCATCCAGCTAATCTAGAATTTCGTCCATCGTCATGGTTCTCTCTCTCTCTCCTATTCCCTCCCTATCCATCATGAACTGAAAAACACCATCCTTACCATTTCGACAGGCGATGTATGCGAGAAGAGGAGGATTATCACATTTGCAGCTTACATTACACATCATGTACAATTCGATGGCGGGATATGTAAAAAAAAAATGGGTAAATTGGATCGGACAATCACCCGGGCTCACCTTTGAGGCTTCCGGTAGACATGGAAACGTCTTGATATCAGATCATGCCTGAAAATATGGACTTTGAAGATTGCAAAGCAACTTGAGTATCGATTCCATGCTTAAATTGATACCCAAGGTACTCACTCGCATAAGCAGCCAAGGTTTTTCTTTTCACCATTGTCCGGAAACAGAGCAAGATCAGGCTCTAAGCTCAAACTTTATATCCATGTGTCTGTATTGTAGAATGATCAATATTTTGACAGTTGCTAAAGAAGATATATCAATTGACAACAGTAGAGGGCAACATAAATGAAAACGTTTGCTGTCCTTCTGCTTCATATACTTTGATATGTTGAATGGCTCCGATGATACGGCTACATGTAGATCAGATCCACAGCATTTCTTAAATACATGACGTCCATTTTTTGCCTGTAGACGCACTGGCAGCTAGATACTAGATGCATTTTTGGTAGGAAGATGTACCACGACAGCAATTTGACATCTCTAATCTTTGGGTCATCCAGAAAAGAGTGATTTCTCAAAGACGAAATGTCCACTACCCTTGAAAATAGCTATTCAAATCGACTAATCTCCCTCGCAAAGAACCATGTACACATGTTATCCTTGTCAAAATACTTTTTATTACTGCAATCTCGTAATTGATGCTTTGTAGGAAATATTTGAAAAATCACGAACCGATTTAAGCCTTGTTGGCAGCCTAATTACAACAACGATCAGTTACTACGAAACATCAATAGTCAGCATATCAAACTTACCTTCTGGAATCTGAATCTAGGAGGAGGGAGACGGTTACGACGGTCGACAGCAGAACGAACACGGACGACACGAGCGTGGATAGCACAAGAGATACAGTAGTGGAGCTTGACGTACAACTTGGGGATAGTGTATTCTTTTGGAAATGTGATTTGATCAATCAACTGCACATTATAAAACAGCAGCCAAAAACTTACCCTCGTAGATGGAAGCTTCTTGGAGATCACGGACGGCAGCAGCTTCAACCATGTTACGGATAGTGAAACGCTTGATAGCCTTATCCTTGGGGACACAACGGTAACAGTTGATACAACGAACAACCTTGTTGTGACCACGACCGTGCTTGTTACGTCCGTTGTTTCTTCTCTTGCAAGTCTAATACAATGATTGAATGTTTAGTATCGCTGGCTTCAGTTGATAGAGTGAATAGCATGACGAGAAAACATGATCAAGGGCAGCAAAGAAAAAGAGGAAAAACATCCAGCCATCTACAACATCAAATCATCGGTACCATCCATTGTCTCTTTTGTGATCCATCTTTTCTTCTTTACTGAAACTGCCAATTTCCCCTCATCATGACTCTAGATTTCGCACACATGCCATCCATTTTGTGAAATAACATACCATATTGATTGATGAATGAAGAAGTTGAGAGAGAGTTTCCCTTTATTTTCTTGACGGGCGCACTTTACCCTTTCCCATCCAACAATTTTTTTGATTCTCAACATCTGTGCGTGCAATGGAAGTGGTCTTGCGGGTCGGATGCCTAGCATGTGCCCGGATATCATGAGGTAGCATATGCAATTGGCTCAAGCAGACCACCCAAAAAATCTTTATACGGACTAGAGATTATAGAGCAGACCAACGGTGATTCCTTTACATAATATATCATGAACAGACAGCCTCAGTATATTGTCGTTAATGGTGGAAAGAAAAAGAAAGCTGTTGCTGTTGCTCCTCTGCCAAAGAAGAGTAATATGGACATGGACAAGGAGGAAGATGTATGGCCAACCAGTCTCAAGTAAGCAAGCAGTATATGCAAATAACAAAGCTATCGTATTGAATCGGTTGCTATAGGGAATATGTAGCAAACGCTTTCTCAAACTGCTTGCCCAATATGAAGACAACATTGGAGACGCAATTGAAAGCAATCATCAAGCAGGCCAAAAACACTAATATGATGGACGTGATTGATTGGAACAGTCGAGACTTACCAAGGTACTTACTACTGACGAGAGATCAGAAATCATGCTAATAGCTACGCAGTGCATGTATAACAACAAATAATCCCAATGGAGTAGATTTATTTCACAAGCAGTGAGTATTTGGACACACTGTTTCAACACAACGCATTTACGCAGTTAGTAGAGCCAAGATAGGGACGAAAAAGACAGCATCGACGATAGGAAACATAGAATTAACGCCTGCCGAAGAAAGAAAGAGACAGCTTAGAGCCATGCGATTTCAAAACGATGTGCCAGCAACACCTGCCACGGTGGAACCAGCGAGAAAGAAGAAGAAGGCATTTACACCCATTGTGTGGGGGAATGAAGCAGAGGCGGATATGAATGATGTGATTGTTGGAACCAGCACTGAATTAGAGAAGCCCTACTTTAGACTGACATCGGTAGGCAATCTCAAGAAAGTGTCTGTATATGGAGGATTGCTGATGAGATGTGGTTTTAGGCTGCTGATCCAGCAACAGTGAGACCGCTGAATATTCTCAAGAAGGCTTTCAAGATGCTGCGACAAAAGTGGAGAGAGGATGGAAATTATTCATATATCTGCGAGCAACTAAAGTCCATGCGACAGGATCTGACTGTAAGTGCTCGGCAACAATGGGAGGGAAAGAGCCAAATGTACTGATAGCGAACCTGTTGTGTTTTTTTTTCAGGTACAAAGAATCCGCACAGAATTCACAGTTCGAGTATATGAAACCCATGCTAGGATCGCACTAGAAAAGGTACCTTTATCGACCAAGGCATTGGTTAATACAGCGGCTCTAATAACATGCCGTTTTTATAGGGAGATATTGGAGAATACAATCAATGCCAAACACAACTGAAATACCTTTACGAACAAAATATCCCTGGTTGTGAAGACGAATTTTTGGCATATCGAATCCTGTACATGTTATTTTCTCAGAATCAATCGGGTAAGCCAGCACAGACACATGTTGGGGATGATTTGTGGATGAGATGACAGCAAATGTTGGCTAACATGCTGCCATATAGATATCAATGCCATGCTGGAAGAAATGTGCGATGTAGGATTACAAAACCATGCTGAATGTGTGCGACATGCTTTGATGGTGCGATCTGCATTAGCGAAAGGAAACTATCACAAATTCTTTAGGTTGTATGAAACGGCACCCAACATGGGAGGCTACTTATTGGATCAGTTTGTAGGCAGAAAGCGAATCGATGCATTGATAGTGATCTGTAAAGTGTAAGTTTAGTGGTGGCTGGCTGGATCATATTGAAACAAACACATGTTAATGGGCAAAAATCAGTTACAAGATGGGCATTTCGTTGGCGTATGTTGCAAAGGAATTGTCATTTGATAGTGTCAAGAAGCTTGCCAAGTTCCTTCGCGAGCACGGCATCAAGCAGCTGGCTAGCAAGAGCAAAGACGCAATGCTGGACACAAGGACAGCTCTTCCTGTGTTGATGGCACAGAGCAAAAACTACAATAAGGTGGACATCAAGGGGCAGATTTAGATGTACTACCTGACCTTACCTCATATTTGGATCGTCACACACAAAACTTTCTCTCTCTCTCTTTCGCCCTCTCCTTTATAAAATAAAACTCGATTGAAATTGTTTGATTCCTGTTTCTTCTCTTACTACATTTTTAGATTTTTTTTTTGTTTGTTTTTCTCGTATAGATTTGGTTGTAGTTGGGAGAGAAAAAGAGAAACACCCAAGCGACTTATATACCTCATTCATCCTATATCAAACAAACGATTTCTATCGAGGAGCCTTGAATTAAAAGGAGACGAAATTACATCATGGCGACACAACCACCCACTTCTGTGCCTACCGTCAAGGTGACTAAACTAGAAGACAACACTAATTCAATTCTCGATGAACCTCTTTGTAAGTATAGTCTGGGCAAGACATGGAAGGAATTGCGTGTGTGTGTGTGTGTGTATGTGTATGCCTGATGGGCAAAGGGGGGGGTTTTTTTTTTGGCTCAACACATGGGGAGGAGGGGGGTGGGGGGTTTCTCACTCAAATCATGATTACCAGGGCGGGGTTTAGGGCTTGTCAACTCATAGCATCCATCATGTTTATAGTTCATCCTCACACTCTCACTGCCTTGATCGTTCTTTTGGCACTGATGTTCTATGCTGCCACTAGATCCAACTATGAAAACACAGCAGACAGTATCAAACTAGGTGTATTGGCTGCTGTAGCTTGTTTTGTATTTATTGGTATGCTTCATTTCCCAGACGGCCCCTTTGTTCGTCCCAGTAAGCCTATTTGGAGAGCCGTACTTAGTCTGAGCGTTCTCTATCAGTTATTCTTGGTGTTCATGTTGTTCATGGTAAGTAGTCAATTCCAGACATGTCATTTGTGTGATGATCTAATCATGATCCCTATAGAACAAAGATGACGCTCGTAAATTCATGACGTACTATGACTCCAGCTTGGGCGTTCAGTTGCCTGAAAGATCCTATGCTGATGCATGTGCTCTGACCTGGGAGAACATTACAGTAAGTTGGACAAATGGACGACTATTTGAGCCAGCAGGATGCTGAACGTGATGTTTACTAGAACCAAATGGATATCTTTGTGGTTGCACATGCCGTTGGATGGTTTGGTAAGGCTTTGATCCTGAGAGATTACTGGTTTTGTTGGATTATTTCCATTGCATTCGAGCTATGTGAATACTCTTTGGAACATCAGCTGAATAATTTTGCAGAGTGTTGGTGGGATCATGTGAGTCTTTAGGGCATGATGATGATTGAATACGGTCATTAACAAGGGATTTTTTTTTTTTTTTTTTTTTTTTTTAGTGGATTCTTGATGTGCTGTTGTGTAATTGGCTTGGTATCGAGGTTGGCATGAAATTCTGTCAATATTTCTCTGTCAAGGTAACACAGCATAGTCGTATCGATGATGCATGGTAACTGACATGTGAGATAGCAATACTCTTGGGTTGGGTTCAGACAAATCAAGTCATTCAAAGGTAAAGCCAAACGCGCTGTTCAGCAATTTACTCCTCGCGAATGGACACGTTATGAATGGAAGACCACCAGCACACCCAAAAACTACTTTGGTACCGTCCTCTTGTTGCTTGTCGTAAGTAGATCTACCCTCTAGCTGAGTGTAGATGAATCTAACCGAGCTGCTGATTAGTTTTTACTATGTGAATTGAACTGCTTCTATCTCAAATATCTTCTTTGGGTCCCCCCAGAGCATCCCATCAACACCTACCGTTTGATCCTCATTTTCCTCTTTGCTCTTCCAGGGGCTAGAGAAGCCTATCAATACATTTCAGACAACACCACCCTTCGTATGGGCGCTCATGCTTGGTTACTCATCTTCAACATCTTGACAGAAACCCTGATCTGTTTAAAGTTTGCTGAAAATGAATTCCACACACCTGCGCCATTGGTCGTCAAGGTGGGTTGGTCTATTGCGTTGACTGTGTTGCTTGTCATTTTCCCTGTGTGGCGATTTGTCATCAATCCTGTCAAGAAGGTAGAAGGCGAACAAGTGATTGTAAAGAAGAGCGAGTGAACGTCATAAACAACTATATAATTCCAGCGCGTAATAAATAATTTTCTGTAATGTCTACTTACAGTGTTGATAATAGACATACGAGGAGGTTTATTTCGTGTGGTTGCTGAAGTCAAAGAGGGAAACTAAGTTGGATAATTAATAGCGAAAGAGAAAGGGAACCATATACAACGAAATATAAGGGATAGTGATAATATATATAGTAATTTTTTTGGTGAATTTACTAGAACTGAGTGTGTGTGTGTGTGTGTGTGTGCAGAGATGATCCAGATATATATTAATATGAAAGAAGGAAAAGATACGGGTATATACATATATAAAAGCAGCAGGGAGAGAGACAGAGAGAGAGAGAGAGAGAGAGAGAGAGAGAGAGAGAGAGACTTGATTAACAAGTGTAAACCTTTTGAACACTAAAGATTTCGGTTCTGCAAATAGCACATTCAGTGAGTTTTTGAGCACACAGTTGGCAGTATGCTATAAAGAGAGAGATAGACGTTAGCACGCCCGTCTGCAAACATGCCACATAAAGGTACATACCATAATGGTAGCAAGGTATCAAGCAATATTCGATATTTCGAGTAAAGCATAAACGGCATTTGTTCAGTTCTTCATCTTTACCAGACTTTGACTTTTCCTCTAGCATGACGAGTACCTCTTCTTTGAGCTTTTCGTTATCATTCATTAAATGTACCACATCCAGTTCAATCTTGGACAGCCTCTCTTGACAGTTGATCCTCAACACGCTCTGTTCATTGTGCTCGTTTTTACTGCGGTGCAACTCTGTTTGAAGGTCAGTCGTTTTACTCTTCAATCTATCATATTTTGAGGTCAAATCTTGGAAGCTTGTGGTCATGGCATTGATAGTAGATTTGAGTTGTGAGTTTTCGTTTCGAACTTTGCTCATTTCGAATTTCAGCAAGGCCAGTTGTTGTTGCTCGTCCAACTTGGTATTGGATGTTGGCAGTGTAGCCGTTTCTGAGGACATGACAGGTGAAGTGACATTGGAGCAAGAAGAGGCGGATGAAGATCTGGACAAGTCGGGTTGTGAAGCGGGTCGTTTAGCCATGACACATGTTGGAATGATCAGTGGTTTCATTGCCAATGTAGGCTTGGGTTGGTGTATGTTTGAATCTGATATAGAGTCCAGAGTGTTGCTATTGTTGCTAGAGGGCTGGGACAGCGTTGCCAGAAGGTCGGCTTGATGTCCCTCTGTGGGGAGAGCGGGTGGCGTTGGCTGATCCGGATACTTACCAAAAGGCATAGGCGCTGGTTGTTCTGGACAAAGCACTTTTTCTGTTAGCGTCTCCTGCTTTCTGTTCATGTACTCTTCATGGCTGATACTGTTGTGGATGTTGAAATTAGGCCTTGGAAATGCCACTTGATGCGCAGGCAAAATCCAGCTGCATTTCTTTGCACCATCCACATCGCCGTTCTTGCAAGCAAATGAGATGGAGTGGCTTGTTCTATTGATGCGCATAATGACAGGTTTGTGGCAAAAGCATTTTGGTAAGACAATGGGCGGATTCATGTCGAATTTGTTCGAGGTGCGGAAGATGGCACAGAATGTAAAGTTGTAGAAGGGGCAGCTTCGCAGTTCGACATAATCGATATTGACATGATGAGTTGCTCGCAGTGTATCACAAAACTTGATCCAGGATATTTCGTGCACATGAAACCCACAGACGTATCTGCTGGACGCTTTGTTGGTGGTTGTTGCAGGGTCCACATCAAAGTTGTTGCAAACAAGGATAGGGCCATACTCGCTGGTGTAGACTCGATGTGCTCGTTTTCGACAAAAGCATTGCGTAGGATTGGGCAGCACGATATTGAGCATATCGCTGGTAGCAGTAAGATTGTGAGTGCTTGAGGTTTGCTGCTGATGCTGCTGATGCTGCTGCGCTGATCGTGGCGGTGATGTAGGAGCTTTTGCTGTTGTAGATGATGTCGAGGAGGATGGAGAGCGCATCGATGAGACAGGCGCTCTTCTATCAAACGTACGTTGCTCTGGCTTCTGACGAACCTCTTGCTGGACCCAGCTGATCCACTTGTTATCTGACATGGTGCGTGCTTGAATTGATAGATTGACTGTCGATACAGCAAAACGAAAGAGAAAAAAGAAGGCTAAAAAATTTTTAATGGGGGGGTTTTTTTTTTTTAATTGTAAATAAGAGTAATCAGTGAAGTGTAGGCAAGTGAGGGAATAATGAAAATGAAGAGGAGATTTTATTTTCTAATGTTTCTTGGGGAATCGCGTTGATTGTAGTAGGATTCAACCTCAAATTGCAGCTCTTTGACCTTTTCGCTTTGAGCCTCCAGTTCCTTGTGAAGACGATCTCTTTCAGACAAGAGCTGCAGATCTGATTAACATCGGATATCTTGAAATACAGTGCTACGGAACGCTTACCTGTTGCTCCCATTGACGGAATCGAGTCTCCTCAGATTTGACCTTTTCAGTAAAGTTTTTGCGCAGTTGCTCCTCCTCCTCTGCAAATTTAGCATTTTCATCCTTTTCAGCACTATGGATCTGGGTCAGCCGCAAGCAATGATGCCATGTGTGGATCAGGCTCTTACCGTGGATCACCAAATTTGCGAGTTTCCATTTGGATTTGGCGGTAGTTTTCATAGTGGTTCTCCTCCGTCGTAGTGATTAAATCCAACATGTGCGTTCTGATCAACAGGCTTCTCAACTTTTTGAAATCACAGTGATCGTCGTTTTCTACTTCAGCAACGCCCCAAGAGTACTCACGGCCCTTTACTCGGCGGCCATCAGCAGTGAGGACATCTTGTGTTGATCCAATGACAGAGAAGGGCATGGCAGCCATGATGTTGACATTGCGCTTTGTAGTGGTTTCATCGTCGCTCTCAATAGGAGAGGAATAGCACTGGATATTCTGAGCAGAGATAACTTCTCGAATCTACAAGGGACAGAGGGAGTGATTTAAGGGTTAATTAAGGAGAATTCTTTTTTTAAGGAGTGTTTTTGTTTACGTTTTGCTTGAATTTAGCCAAGTCTGAGGGTGTCAATGTATCTGCCTTTGCAATGACTGGAATCAAATTGACGCGAGAGCCCAATCGTTTCATGACCTCAACGTCCAAGGGAGACAGCGTGTGGCCAGTCGGCTTGACAAAGTAGAGACAGACATGGACACGCATATCGACAACACCCTTACGACAAGGTTGCTGCTCTTGTCTCATGTAATTTTCGTGTTGATCGTCAAGGAAATCAACGATTGGGATCCATCCATGGCGGTTATTAACATAATCACCAAACCCAGGAGTATCAATGATGGTCAGCTTGACCTTGAACATTTTTTCTTCCAATTCTTTTAGGGGGGGGGAGAAAGGCAAGAGTCGATTAGGAATGCTTCAATTCCTTGCTGGCATCTCTTACCTGCTCTAGTGATTTGAATCTGAACAGTCTTGGTGGGAGCCTTGGAACGTCTCTTGGCCAAGTTTTTAGGTTCCTTGATGGTAGATGTGAAGAGAGTGTTTACAAAGGTAGTCTTGCCAACACCAGATTCGCCTATGCCCCCCCAACCACATCAATATCACACACATAACCGTCTAGTATAAGGCAACTTTACCACAAACCATCAAGGTGAAGTTGGCGCCATTTTTTGCTACAATCTTGTGTCTTTGATTAGGTAAATTGGCAATACCTGTCCCTGGTGATGTGATGGGCTCAGAGGGAGGAAGAGGTGCTGCTTCCATTGGAGATGCCGCGGCCATTATGAAGAAGAATCAAACAACTAGAAAAAGATGAAAGATAGAGAAGAAGAAGAAGAAGAAAGAGATAAAGATCAATCAAGATGAATAGACGGTTCATTTGGATAGGGGACGCATACGATTAAAGGGGAAATGAAGGGGCCAGAAAGTATAACTCAAATAAAAGAAATCAATAGGGATTTATGCTGTTGTTTATGTATTTGTTGTTAAGTTCTCAGAGAGAGGGGGGGGGGAGCGCATTCGTAGCATGCTGCAACAATTGTGATGATTGTCTCTATCGTCTATGCTATCTTTTGTACTATAGACATTCTGATAAATAGATATATATATATATATATATATATATATATATATACGTCAACAACATGCTATACATGGACACATTCCTCAAGGTATTCTCTCTCACTGCCCAAGAAAAAGAATATGCCGGAAAATGCTTTTGGTTATGTGCGCCTTGCTCATGTACAAACAACCCTATTTTGCCATGAAATTCAGGCATGTATTACTAGGCTAAATTATTAAAAAGAATGTATATTTACATATTGGATATAAAATATAAGAGTAGGGTCTTTGGGATATAGTATGTGTAGTAGTAGTCGTAATCAATCGATATCTAAAAAGGGATGAATAGGAGATCTATGGCTGTTGTTGACTGATAATGGCATGGTAATTTTCTGAATTTCGTTTTAAAATCTCATGAACAGACCCCAATAATCTTGTGAATGCCTTTTTACCCAATGTAGCGCATTTCAATCTACCTTTAGCAACGACTGTAGCTGCTCTGGGACTATCGTTGAGCAGAGCGAGTTCTGTATTCAATTGAAAAAAAGTGAGCCATGTAAACTAGATGCTAATTTTAAGCAGCACACAAACCTCCAAAGTAGGCCCCTCTTTCAAACTGATTCACTTCTTGCTGATCTCCATTCTTATCTACCTTGTAAAATACAGCAAGGCCAGATTCAATAATGTAGAACTGGTCCCCCACATCGCCTTGCAAGATAACATGGTCTCCATCATTAAAGTAAACAGATTCCAAAGCATCTGCAATCTTGTGGCGTTCATAGGGCTCTAATGACTTGAGCAATGGCACTTCCTCCAAAAATGATTCGTACATTTTGCGCTTGCGAGAGGTATTTTCCATCAAAATGGTTCTAAATGTAACACGATCAAGAGCCCACAAGACAGCACTTGAAGTAGCTACAATGGTGGCAGCACGTGGTGCATTATACATGAGTGCCAATTCGCCAAAGCTTCCTCCTGCTTCATACGTCGTTACTAATTTCTGGGCACTGCTTTCGCTGTCCTTGTCTTGACTGGTAATGAAACAATCAAATGTGCCTGATTCAACAACGTAGAAAAAGTCGCCCACCCCGCCTTGCTCGATGATGGCTGTGCCTTCAGCCACATGTTTCTCCTCCATGGCATCAACAACATCTTGGTGATGCTCTTCATCGAGATTTTTGAACAAAAAGTTGCTACCTACACTCTGCTTGATACCCTCAATTTGTGCGGGAGTTTTGGAAACTACCTTCTTGACAAATCCCTGAGAGGGAGCCATCGACTCTGCACTGACTGAGGTACGTCTGCCTCGATTATAATTGGCGGCAGCAGGGATGCTACTAAGCGGTGTTGTAGAGAAGTTGTCTCGCTCCTCATCGTCGTCTTCCTCCTCTTCATCGAGCACAATGTCATTGTCAATGTCTTGATCATTTTCATAGTGATGGCTACTACTGTTGCTACTGTAACTACTGTAAGCAGGCTCAAACATGCTGCCGGCTGCGCCATTCTCGGCCAAAGGATGATGCTCTGTTTCTATCTTGTCAGGTCAGAACATACTGTAAATTATTTATCAGTCTTTCTACGATTTTACCCAAGCCATGCTGCTCACGAAAGTAATTGGTTCTCTGCTCCTCTAGTTTTCGGTTAAAGAAATTGGCACAATACTGTAATACATCATGAGGCTGATCTTTGCAGTAAACTTCATGGAGCTCGGTCAAGAGTTGAGTATATTCATCGGCATACGAAAAATTGAATGGTTGTTGTTGATCTTGATGTTGTTGTTCCTGTGAGGATGGTTCACCGAATGTAAAGGTCATTTTTTTTTTTACCTGCTTGAGTTGATTTATTGAACAGGGGGGATAGGATAAGATTCTATAGCGGTATAAAGATTGAGTAGTGTAGAGCTTTGAATAATGAGAGCAGAGTGAGAGAGAGAACAACGAACAGGGAAAGGGGAAAAAAAAGTGAGAAAGGAAAGAGAAAAAACTTTTTTTTTTTTTATGTATACACACATACATCCACATATCACAAATTAATACTACAGCAGCCAACTAACCACATAATGATAATAATAGTTTTTCCACGTTTTTTAATTAGTGTGTGTGCGTGCACATATCACTTCAAAATGTAACGCGAGATGCCTCTTCCCTCGTGGTTTCGGCTAAATTCCCATTGAGCAAAACAACAGTGTTGTGAATGTATCATCTGCCGTTTTGACTTGATTTCCCGTGCGTTTCCTTCCAATAAATACAAATAGTTGATCTTCTGCTCCCAGGAAATCCCCAATCTCTTGCTTTTCCACTATTTCTCCACTGGATTCGTCTTTTTCTTGGGAATACTCTAATTTTCGCACTGGTTCGTATTCAAAATATCTTCCAAAATAATCTTGCCAGAACCCAACTTCCTTTTCAAGTGAACGACACTTGTAACCAATCACTACCTGCGTAGAAGCATCACAAACGTCCAAAAGTGTATCCAATAGCATGCTAAATAGTTCTGGAAAGTAGACACAATCACTAACAATGACAAGATCAAATCGCCCTTGATCTACCAGCTTTTTCGCATCCTCACGATTGCCCCAGTGAAGTCGATCCACAATGATTTCTGCGGCATTGTCGTCGTCGTCGTCGTCTGTAGAATGCATGTTGACATTTTCTTGTATTAAAGGTACGACTTGCTCCAAGTCTGTAATGAGCAATTGCACTGGTCGACGTAACTGCTGCGCTAATGCAATGCCTACATACCCTGTTCCCGCGCCAAGTTCAAGTATACGATATGGTTTGACTGCATGATCATCTTTATCATCTGATGAGGTGTCTGTGGTAGTGTTGTTCTTGTAGTATATCTCTGGGATAGGATTGCTAGGTTCAATCATCGAACGGGTATCAGGTGAAAACAGTGCTTGTAATGTGTACGCACTATGTGATGCATTTATCAGTACATCCTCCTCCTCCTCTTATTACGTCAAAACGCACACACACACACACACACACACGCATACCTCTGCCATATTTTACCAGCTAACCCAAACTGACCAATATCTTGTTTCAACTCGAGCGAGCTTGTCTTTAGATAACCAGGTGCTCCTTCTGATGCAGTGACATTCAAGCCTTCGGGTAAGTTTCCAATTTCAAAATCTCGATCATGGGCTATCATATCAACACCAAGTGGAAAAGAAAGAGGGTAGGACGGGACGGAAACGAAACAAAAAGAAAACTAAAGAATAAATTTGCTGCTTCCAATATTATAATGCAAACAGGCGGAGACTTATCATCCATGGCTAGTTTCATATTCGCCCTGAATTTTTAGAAATCAAAGGACTTGAAGATTCGTTTCAAAATGCCCACTGGATCTGGTGATAGGACATTGATCCCGCTACCTTCCACCTGCTATTAGATTATGCGGGATCATCCAAATATCGAAAAATAATAAGCTCAATAACGTCATCCTATTGGCATAGTATTATGAATCTCACTTTTTAGCCTTACTCTGTCATGAAAAACACCCATAGCTCTCCTGTACCTGTGAATCTGGCTTTCCTGCAACGCATCACGTTTGTATCATCAGAAAAAACTCATGTGCGGACAGCCATCGTACTGGCGTTGCTTCCTACTGCTCCAAATTGCGCAGAACACAGCGAAGTTTGGGTGCATTTGAGCTTGGATTTTTCGTGGTAGAATCTGTTTTAAACTGTCAGAGTAGCACCAAACAGTTGCTTTAATCCAGCGTTCACTTACTGACGCCTTTGAACAACTTTTTTAGGATCGCCGAAAATTGACTCCAAACCATGAGGGGTGCCTCAAGATTTTTGTCAAAAATCAAACAATCGCGTTTTTCACCCTAAAATCGAAGACTTTTACTATGGTATGTATTAAACCAAAATGTGTCTTTCGCTTCGAAGCAACCCCTGAAACTTTATCTGTGAAACCTTCATTTCCAAAATCTTGACATTTTGGTCAAAAACAGTATTTCATATTATGAAGTATTGCTCAATAATTTTACTCAAACCATCGCTTATAATTAGCACCATTAGATGCGCCTTGAAGAGTACTTTAAGAAAGCTTAAGGGAGTAATTTTTTTTTTTTGTAGGGAAGTCGAGCTCCAGGTTTTATTTAAAGTCCTTTAAATGTCATGCTGAGGGATAGAAAAGACTGTTGGTGGACCCAATGTCTGCAAAGAAGGGGAATAAGATATTTTTTGAACTAAGTTGGGAAAGAAATCTACTACTAATAAGGTGCGACTCCTAGAGCCAGTACAGTCTTGCGGAAATCGTCAAAATATAGATCATGGATAAGAGCACAAAACACCAAACGAGGACATCAGTACTACGTCAAAAAATCAAACAACTTGCGTTCACCAGGATTTGAACCGGGATCCTCCCGTTGGCATACGGGAGTTCTACCACTTCGCCCTACCACCAGGGACAGCTTAAGGGAGTAAGGATATATTAGTACGGTTTATATAGTCGAATCGTGCAAAATACTTCGATCAAGTCGCAAAACAATCAAAAAATTACTATTTCGAGGTAGAAAAAAGTATCGGAAATTCAATCAATTTTGGCGGCAGTATGCAGGTGGCTGGCTGGCAAACACATCAACAATGCTTTTGAGCTTAAGCATGGTTACAATCTGTCAAAATGCACTTGTTACAATGCGCAATATGTAATCAACAAGCTAAAGTGATGAAAAAAAAGTTTTTATTACCAATACATATGTATATCGTTGAAATTATTATATTATTAAGTCGGAAAAAAAAAGAAGAGAAATCTGTTATATAATAGTATTAAAGTGGTAAAATGAAAGAGTAGGCTTTCTTTTGTAAAATAACGGATTGTGTAATGAATAAAGGAATGGTATTTATGGACAGTTTTCAGCAAGTTGGTCGATGCAAGTAGCAACGACAACATTGGGCACGACACCACCAATCTTGAGAACAGCTTGAAGAATAGCAGCAATACCTTGACCAGCAATTAAACCACCAGCAGCACTGAACATAAGATTATCGTAGGCAGCGGGATTGATTTTCTTCCAGACCTTACCACCAGCCCAACCAAGGAACATAGAGAAAGGAACCTCGGGTTGAGGGTTAATCATAGCAATACCGATGGCAGAGATAGATGGGAAGTATCTGTGATACTTTTGAGGAAGGAAGAAATGACGGCAAACGGGAAGGACAACAGCTGCAACAGCACAAACAGCAGTACAGATGATAGAACCTCTGCTTAGGGGCTCACCGCCACCAGTCAAAAGGAGAGTAACGTTCTTCCAAGCAGTAACAGCGACCAAACCAAAGACACAATCTTGAGGTTCGATATTGGGGTCAATAATACAAGGATAGGCATCAGCGAAAAGAATGAAAAGACCTACAGCAACACCAATGGCGAAGAAAGAGGCAACGAATTGGGCCAAGAATTGAGAACGAGGAGAGGCACCGACCAGTTGACCAGTCTTCAAATCACCAACCATGTCGACAGCTTGAGAAGCAGCAGAGGCAGAAATGTTACCAGCCATCAAATTGTTCTTCATGACGTGGTTGATGCTATCAGCAGGCATCTTGGCAAAGACAAGCTGAGACATCTTACCAATGGAACCAGTGGGATTAATATCAGTCTCACCAGAGGCTTGAATACCAACGAAAGAGAGCAAGAAACCGAGAATGACAGCAATCAAAGATTGATAAACGGGCATACCGAAGTATTCACCCATAATGGCACAAGTGAAAATGATGGAAAGGAGAGTACCAGAGACCCACCACCAAGCAGGGACCAGTTGATCGTCTCTAAAGATCTCATTTTCATCCTTCTCAGAGTTGTAACGGTTGTTTTGTTCATCAGATAAAGTAGAACGGAGGACAACACGACGGAAGAAGTTGGTACCGCGCATGAAAGCAAGCTTGAGCTCACCGCAGCCACCCTTAATACCACGCCAGAGAGTATCATAGTGAACAAAGAGTTCAGTAAAGGCAGAAAGAGCCATGAGAGCAATACCAGGCCACAAGAAAAAACGGTTAGTGGTATCACCCTTTCCATTGAAACCATAGGCAGCAACAAAGGTACCGTTGCTTACAGAGAGAGGACCAATGAGACCATAGATAACGATAGAGGAAATGAAGAAGGAGAGGACAGTGGATCCGGGAGTCATAAGACCAGCACCAAAGAAGGGGAAATCAAACTTGAAGAACCAACCCCAGACAGCATCAGCATTGGCAAGAGGAGCGTAGCCAGCAGCATTACCAATGTAGTAGAGAATATGGACTGGATGGATTAATTGCAATTAATTGTCTGTGCGCTTTGTATAACCCATTTTATCAACTCTAAATTACTTACGGGTATCCAAGAAAGGAAGCCAGTAGGCAGCAAAAGTCCAGATGAAGCAAATACCGAACCAAATAGCCATCCACTTGGCCTTCTTCATGGCTTGCTTCTCGCCTTCAACAGTGTCGTGAAGAGACATGATGGTGATAGCGGCAGCACGGGGAGTAGGGAAAGTCAAGTCTTGCTTGACAACAAAGTGAGAACGAAGAGGTACAGCGAAGCAAAGACCGTAGAAAGCACAAGAGATGGTGAACAATAATAATGCAACAGCATCTTCACGGGGAGTAGTCATAAGACCTAATTTATACATGGCAGGAATACCTGAGACGAAACCAGCAGAGAGACCGCCAGCGGTAGTAGCGGCTGATTGAGCAGAACAGTTTTCCTTGGGACCAAAGTATCCACCACCCCACTTGGGAGGGAGTGCTCTGGACAAAGGCTTAAGAATAGCGAATGAAAAGATGGCACCAAAGAGGGAAGCACCAAAAGTCCACCCAATCTTCAAACCGAGATATGTGTTTGAGGCAGCTATTGACATACACTTTAAGTATACATTCTAGATCAGAATGAAAAAGCGACTTACCAACTAAACAACCGAGCAATGAACCAACGATAGATGAACGCCAGGTGAAGTGGAATTCCTCTAAATGTCTGTTTGCTGCAGGCTGATCGTCTACGATAACTTGGCTATTACTATCTCCATCTGTAATAAAATCTTTCTTCTCATCTCTGAATGATGATCTTGGAGAATCCAACTCAAACTTTTCATCAACGACAGCAGGCGTTGTCATCTTTTTGTGTTTTGAGATTAATGAAAGTGGGAAGTAAGAAAAATGAAAATATCCGGAAAACGAATGCTATCTTTATATACTCGATTTGAATTCTGATCTGTAACATTGATATTAGACATAATATTGGCTTATTCATGTGATCAATCTTGCGATTTTACATGTAAGTATCGAATTAGAATCTTTCGCACGCTTAAATGCCGTACAACTCTCTTTTTTTTTAATCGCGTGAATTTAGTGCTAATTAGGAAAACTTGTTCAAGATTTTCAACTTGACATCCTACAGCTTTTATAGGAAATTCTTTCTTATTTTGGGTTTTTCAAATCGTACATGTATCATTTGCTTTCTTTTTCGTGATTGCTAATTTTAGCATAGCATAATAAACAAGGTTTCTGGATTGTTATGCCAGGGAGTTGATGCTAAGCGTAATGCGGCAGACCAGCAGCATTCACCTGAAAAAAAGGGGAGCATCTAATCGCAAGAATAAGCAAGCTGTCGTATCAAAAAGGGCAAGTTTTTTTTACAAATACAACGCAAGAAGAAGCTTCATTTGATTCTTTCGGAAAACGAAAATGCAGAGTGGTACCTTTTGATTTCCTTTGCTTCTTTTTCTTCTCCATGTTCTTTGCTGATTAACCTACTTGATCGCGGGCTTGACAACCTGGTGCTTTTTTTCAAACTAATAGTATCTCGATCAATTCATACAGCCAACGCGGATGAAATCACTATCCAGAGTCTATCTTGCGCATGGTCTATTTTCGATTATCAAGTTTATATTGGCGATTAATATACGTGATACAATGAATTTCTGATCCGATAAAACGAAGTGAAAAAAAACTGATCTGTTTTCTTATTGGAAAGTTCAATGTAACACCGGGGTCGCTCAATCAGTTATCATCTCTACTCTTATAGGTGCGCATTTATAAGCAATACATTGAATAGAAAAAAACAGACATCCACTTCGACAATTTGGGCTTGATCAAAGTACGTAGGTATTCATAGAGCATTTATATTTACTACATGCAAGCCGACATATAAACACAACTGTCGTATTTGGGATTCTGTGAAACACTATTCCTGACTGATTCGCACATAAAAATTACCTTATCAATATTTTCATGTAACCCAAACAAACATACCTAGAAATATAGTGCTCTAGAGCATACACTGGATAAGGGATAAAAGGGAACATAGACATAACACCCTTATCTATTCCACAGAAAGACCAAGAGGAAGAATTCTAGTTTTCCACGGTTGTCTTGTTTAGACATTTCTACCCTTTTATCGCTGATAACACATGATAATATATTGCCATGCAAGAGTGATGCCGATATGAAAAAATCATAAGCAGACTTTTTTGTTATACAAGAGAGAATAATACGATGATTATCCATCAGTTTTCTATACCCATTTGTAGCCTGCTTCTTTGTTTCCGCTATTCATGCTGTATGATGGAGTATGGTTACTGCTGTGTCCTTTGCTTGAATGCAAGTAGCTATCACTAGATTGTTTTGATAAATACAAAGAAAACCAATCATGTATACTAAACTATTCTATAAAATGTCTAATGCTTTCTTATGGAAACGAATTGTCATACCATATCATATGAATTAGACGAATAAAAAAGTAAAATTATGATATAAAAGTAAAATTGTGGTGGGTGATTTGGAGAATGAGCCAGCCTCTCAATATTGTATAAACAACAGGCAAATACACATCAATGCGAATGCAATGTTACACTGTAATTCGAGTATCTCATTACCATACCATTATACCGTTGGTTGGTCAATTACTTGTACGGTCGATGTACTACAGCACACTCGATTCAAATCAGGAAACTTGGTCAAATTTAGGAATACATCCCCTATTTCACTTGATGGTAAATCCTCTCGTTCTATTTATTTTTGATTCCATGATGTTTCTAATACTTCCATCATGCTTTTCAGATTGCTAATTTTACATGCCTATGAGTCATTTATCCGTAGCTACGTTTTATGAAATTCACACATATTGATATTCGTACAAGATCTATTGATCATGCAAAGCGCAATAAAGCTTACTATTTACAAGATCAATCATGCAGTAACGTGGCGTAGTATATGCACCATGCCGAATTGAAAGAGAAAGATCTAACTTTTCTTGATATGCCAGTAGCAGCTGGGCATCAGGAATACAGATACTATATACAAAAGTCAAAGCTCGTTTTTGGTAACGTTGGGGGTGTAACTTCTTTCAGAATAATTGTGTGCAACATGTCTGGCTCTTGCTCTTGCTGAGCATTGGTTCTTTATTGACCTTGTGCATGGTGATGGGTACATTGAACATTGACAAGCAGAATATGTATAGGCGTAGGGTTACATTCAAATCCGTAAATTATAGCCATATCATAACATAATAAATTTATAGTCCCTAGACACTTTCAAAGCCTCAAAAAGGAAAGAAGTTGATCCAACAAGTATTTGATAAACTGGAGTTATTAAATATAGAATACAAGGAAAACAGCATGGCTAAAGATAGTGCTATATAGCTTGCCACTTGCTTTCCATATGCTTCAAAAGCATCTATTGTTGCCTTCATTGTGAAAAGGGCATTTTTTTTTTAGGAAGACTATTGTTTTATTAATAAAATTCCTTGTTTAAAGTTCTACTAACGTACCCGAATTGGGGAAAAGGATAGTAAGACTGGATATAAGGTGCTTTGCTATAGAAGTGAGTGAACGTTGTCTCGGGAAACTGAAGTATATAGTGTCCTGTCTATGCAGAGCATGATTTGGAGAGGTTCAAAATGAAAGGAGTCAAAGATGGATCTGCAGTGGCAACTCCAAATTGCTTGAAGAATGCAAGAAAATACTTGGTACGTGGTGAGTGTGGGGTAGGGTAAACATGTTGAGACTGTAAGGGAGGAGCGAAGGTGGAGAAGTTCTTGAAATTGCTCATAAGAGGGAGATTGCAGGCCTGGGTCTATGTATGTGGAGAGTGCTTGGGACCAGACAGTGTATTTGATGGGACAGGAAAAGAAAAAGCGCGCTGTCGTTTTGATGCTGGTATTTGTAGAAGGGCAGATCGTGCAATGAGGAACGAATTTGTCTGGCATACGAAGGTATAGGAATTCTTTGGTGGTTATTTTGTTGAGGAGGATTCGGTACCAAGTATTATGAGCATTCAGAGCTATTTCGAGCTTCCAAAACTGACGCCATTGAGTAGAAGAAAGGATAGAACTAGGGGTAGGGGGAGAGGAAGAGGTTAGGAGGCATTTGAAATATTTGATAGAAGTAGCTTTAGTTGTTGGACGAATACTGTTGGGTTCTGCAGGTACAAGCAGAGTGGTGACAAAGGAATGGAGAGCTGAAAATGAAGGAATGTTGGAATTTGGAAGGTTGTGAACCTCCAAGGCGTTCTGAGGTCGCGGTACATTGGGTAGGAAGTTGTAAAGGACGAAACTGTTGAAAAGTAGTTGATTAGAGCAAAGTAGAGAGATAGTTTTGTTGATTGATGGGCCATGTGGCAGTGCGGGGGGAGATGATTGTATTCTAGGCAGAGTCGGTTGGGGTTGAAGATAAATATATCAGATCCTTTGAGCTGACGGATTGTTGGCTGGCTCTTGAGAACGTTGTGAGGGGGGCTGAAAGAGATGGGCTATGGGATGAGTAGGTGGGAGATTGTGGACGAGGAGTTACATCAGTGGTAGGTGAAGGCATGTGGCCATGGCGGCGTGGCTGAAATGATAGTTGTGGGGGATCGAATCCACGACTCGTAGTAAGTTGACTATGGGACCAAAGAGGCGAGGGATGACAGGTCGGCAGTGGGGAAATAGGAATGACCAATGATAGGAGGGATATTTGGCAGTGGAAAGAACAAAGTTGAGAGTGTATCTAAGGATGGGAATGGATGGCATAAGTGAAGGTGAGGCTTGTGGGGGGGGGGTGAATCAAGAAGTAGAGCCAACGCCATTGTAAGGCATTAGCTTGAGTGGCTGGATCGAGGAGTTTCAAGCCACCTTGGTGGATGGGTTGGGTGAGGTGGTCAAAAGCGAGGCTAGAAATTTTGGATCCGCGGTTGATGAAGGTGGCGGCGAGTTGCTGGAGCTGTTTAAGTTCGGGGATGAAAATGTAAAGAGGCGCATAACGTGCCAAAGTTTCGAATATAAGAGCGCATTGATGACGGTGACCCTACCTCGGTATGTTAGTGAGCGGGTGGAGTGAAGCTGGCAATAGATGCGAAGCTTGAACATGATGGAGAGGGCATAGATTGCGCGTTGATTGGCACTTGAACATATGGTGAAGCCTAGATAGGTGAGTGGTTCAGTAGCGGTGCGGTCGTACCATGAGGCGATACCCTGATCTTAAGGAAAGAAATCCAGTGTGGATGCGGTTTACCTGATAACGAGAGTGATTGGGTTGTGAAAAGGGCATTGGGTTTACCAGCCAGCTCCACCGTCCAAAATCAATTCAAACCCAGACTCATAGTCTGTTCCAGATTGGCCAAATCTTGACAAGTTTCGACTCGATTGAACTATTTTGCCAGATTCGACTATATACAGTATGATAATTACCCTATGCTTCTTTAAGCTTTCTTGGAGTGCTTTTCAAGGCGCATCCAATGGTACCAAGTAATATAAATGTTTCGAATAATTTATTGAGCAATTTATAAAAAATAAAAAGAGGTTTCTGGCCAAAACGTCGAAATTTTACATATCAAAGTCTTATAAAGACGATTTCAGGTGTTACGTTGGATCGATAGAAACATTTTGATTTAAGATAAACCATAGTAAAAGTCTTCATTATCAAGGTGAAAAACGCGATCGTTTGATTTTCGATGAAAACCATGAGGGGTACCTCATGCTTTTTGGTCGAAATTTGGCCATTTTTTTTTGGTCCCCAAAAAGTTGAGCAAAAGTGTCAGGAGTAGCTGCTAGACGAAATCAACTATTTGGTGCTATTCCTGCGATTTGAAAAGGTTTTTAACGCGAGAAATCACTGCCCAAATGCATCCAACTTTGGCTGTATATCGCCTACTTTGAGCAGTAAGGGATATCGTTAGTATAGTCTAAGCTCGTATATGAGTTGATTTCATTGATACATATGTGTGTTATTGTAAACGAGCCGGATACACAGTCAAAGATCTTTTATAGAAGGCTCTTACATGAGAGCAAACTAAAAATTGGAAGTTCCGTTAAAATTAGAAGAATTCAGATTGCTTGAAGGCCGTGGATGTACAAACGACAAGCAAAAGTCTTCTTCGTCATGATAAATAGAGAAATAGTTGTATCAAGCATGACTCATGCTAAGTTATAATATATAAGCATTTGAACTCACAAGATTTCAAACAAGTAATAAACGTCAAAATGTGTAAACTTAGCAGAACGGGCTTGATGTAGAGCAGTTGTATAATGCTCCTATTCATAGCGATTATCAGACGTGCTACTCCCTTGAAGCGTCTATTACATAACACTCTACATTCAAGTTGTTGATTCATTGCAATCTCATTACGTGCACTTAAATGGCAATGATAACCAAAAGTACGCAAGCTATCCAGCACTTGAACTTCAAAATTCTCGACGTCGACACTGTAGGAACATCTTATTCTGAAAGCAATCTCTAGTTTCATGGCGAGTAGCACAAGAATTACAGTCGAGGCGGTTGCAACTGCATAAGAATTGATTGGACTACGTGGCAAGTAGTAACCAGTCCTGCTTCATGGCAAGACATACACAGCGCGTGCATTATATCTATACTCCTTTCAACTGTTTTGTTTTAACAATTGTCGCATAATGTCGCAAACAGGTAAACTAGATGCTTATCTGCTGCTTGTCATGGATTAAGTAGTATATATATCAACATTAGAGACTGCAAGCGAACCTGTACAAGTATCCAACAAATACGACTCAACTCAAATCAAAAACGCTGTTGATGATGAACTTTCTCGAGTAATATGAAGTGCAAGTTATCATCACCAAAAGAGATATTGACACACATTTAGTATTTTTCAGAGGACCAGCAGTTTGTTCAATCCCATATCCATACAGACATCAAGCTACTGCTAGGATACGTGTCATGCTTCATTGCAGGAGGATCATTTTTATACGAGTACAAGACGAGTTTTAACGATGCGCTTACTGTAACCACTGTATGTGTTGTGATTTACTGGGTGATTCAGGCCATCTCTTTTGCATATGGCTACCTTGTTGAGAAGGACGAGCTTTTTATTGGTACCAAGAAGGTGGATGGAAAGGTAACAAACAACTGACTCGATTGCCAGTAGCATCAAGACTAACAAACACACCACATTTCAAAGGCTACATCGACATTGAAGATTTCAGGAAAGATTGATAAATATTCACCCATCTATCAACTCTGCCTCAACTACACTGATATTAGCACTGGAAAGACCGTTTCGCATAAAATTGAACCTAATGTAACAACTTGGTTCGATACTAAAGGCGTTCTTGTCAAGCAAACTATGGATTCAGAATTGAACTCTTATTTATCAACGCTGGTACAAAAGTTACATCAAGAATAGTCGCTAAAATAAAGTCTGATTCTTTTAATGACATGAATAAAGGATGAAATTATCGCATAGTGACTAATTCCTCTGCAGAGGTAGGATGGATGGCAACACAGTTGTCAAAGTCTGCCTTGGTAGCACCCATACAAATAGCGACACCGAAACCTTGCATGATTTCATCACTGTTTCTCCCAATAATATGAAGACCAACCACCTTTTCTTCAGGACCGCTGACAATGATCTTGTAAGCAGTGGGCTCCTTCTCATCAAGAACACTAAAGTACATGTTTCCAAATCTGCTTGTATACACCTTGATATTGTCATTGCCAAACTTGGCGCGAGCTTCGTCCTCTGTATAACCCACTGTACCTGATGTAGGATGAGAAAAGACGACAGTGGGGATGTTGATGTAATCCAACTTGGATTGAGCAAATTGAGGACCACCAAAGAGACGATCACTAAGCTTACGAGCAGCAGCAATGGCTACAGGAGTCAATTCAGCCTTACCGACGACATCACCAAGAGCATAAATGTTGGGAGCAGTGGTATTTTGATACTCGTCCACGACAATTTGATGCTTGTCATTGATCTTGACACCAGCAGCGGCAACGTTCAAGCCTTCAGTATTAGAAGCACGACCAACAGCCCAGAGCACAGTGTCAACTTCAAGCTCACCCTTTTGACCAGCAGAATCGTATTCTACAACGATACCAGTGGCAGATTTCTTCAAAGCAGTGACTTTGGAATCAAAGGTAAACTTGACGCCCGTCTTTTGCATGTGCTCCAGCAAAGTATCCTTGATAATGGTATCGAACTTTCTCAAAATTTGCTTTGTGCGGGAGAAGATGGTAACATCTGTACCCAATGCGTGAAAGATACCAGCGAGTTCAATACCAATGTAACCCGTACCTACCACAGCCACACGTTTGGGTTGAGATTCCAATTGAAAGAAGCCGTCAGATGTAATACCGAGTTCAGCCCCAGGAACCTTGGGAATAATGGCATGACCACCAGTAGCAATAAGGATGTGTTTGCCTTTGATTTCGATGGGATCAGCACCTTGGCGAGCAATCGAGATAGTGCTGGCATTGACAAAACTGGCGTGACCATGGAACTGCTCTACGTTCTCTCTGACAGCATTGGCGTCGTAGATACCGTTCAAGCGCTTTATAAACGCATCACGCTTTGCCTTGATGATAGACCAATCAAAACCGACTTCACCAAATTCATAGCCATAGCCCTTCGCTTGACGCAGTGTCTCAAAGACAGAGGCTGTGTTCCACATGACCTTTTTGGGTACACAGCCTACATTTACACAAGTACCTCCCAAGACGCTGTGGCCCTCAATCAAGGCAACACTTGCGCCATGAACGCCAGCAGCTCTTCTAGCACCGGCCATACCACCAGAACCACCACCGATGACAATGTAGTCGTAAATTGGCTTGGATGCTTTAGTTACAGGAGGCATTTTTATACAATCGTGAATGTGCAGGAGTCTATTATTGATAATTTCTGTAGGAAATTAAATGATAACAAAGAAGAAAAAAAGGTTTGATTAGATGTTTGTTGTATATTTATAATGCATATATTTGTTGATGTGACACTTGTTTTGTGTGTGTGTGTGTGTGTGTGTGTGCGTTTACGCTATCAATAATTTAGGCGATTGTTTCCAATCGATTGCATTACCAACCATCGTTTTTATTGGACATCTCTGCGTGTTGTATACAAGGGAAGAAGAAAAGAGAAACATGCAAAAACTTGGTAGAACAAAAGTATTAAATTTCTATGTATCCAATGAGATTCATGCTGGAGCTTGGTTGACAAATCCACCTTCTCTTGTAATGGCGCCGAATCGAATAGCAGCAAGATGTTGTTCTTGATCACTCTCTAAGCCAGCTGTAACTACATCGCCTGTGTGGATTGGACCTACACCTTTAGGCGTGCCAGTCAGAATGACATCCCCAACTTGTAGCTTCATGATGGAAGACACGTATTCGATCAGCGTAGGAATACTATAAATAAGATAAAATTCAAAAGCTTCTATGTCAAGGGTCTTGATTTCAGCACGGTTCTTGCTCTTCTTACCTGAATATCATGTCCTTTGTATTACCGTTCTGACGGTACTCTCCATTAATCTGATGGTATACGTAATTTGTAGTAAGCGTGAATGCGTGATCTCATTACTACTCATTTATCATCATTATCATTACCTTTAGCCAAAGATTAACATTTGCTGGGTCGGAAATGCGGTCTTTTGAAATGAAATCACTGTACGTTTTTTTTTTTTTTTTTTTTTACAATTATTTGAAACATGTACTTCAAGGCTGTTCTCTATTTAAAATTTGGTTTTACCTGATGGGTGTAAATGTATCAAACCCCTTGGAAGCAGACCAAGGCAAACCCTTCTTTTTAGCCGCCAACTATGTATTTTGACAGGTTTAACCGGCTTGCTGAACAATTTGCTCTGATCCTTTATCTTACCTGGAGATCTCTAGCAGTTAAATCAATTGCCAATGCATACCCTATTATAGATCCATCAAAATGCTACTCAAGGCACATGTACTAGAGTCTATTACCACCGATGTATTCATCAGCATTGGCCGCTGAGATGTTTCTACCATCCTTGCCGATAACCACAGCTAACTCGACTAGTAAACAACTAACATTAGCCTCATCAAAGCATGCCACATGCCTCCTTCTTACTTTCATGGTGAACTTCGCATCCCTGTGGCAATTCAATATCACCACCGTTCTCCAAATAAGAACTGGTAGGTTTCAAAAAGAAGAAGGGTGTTTCGGGCACTGCATTGTTCAATTCTTTGGCATGTTCACTATGTGACATTTTATATGAGACATGGCGACATGACTTTCATATGCGTCCAACTATTACCTATAGTTTCTGCCAATAGCTACAATCTTGCGTCCTGTAGTCAAAAATGTCTCGGCCATGTTGTAATAATAGTTATCAAGTTTGAAAAAAGAGATGGTCAAAAGAGATCCCCCAATCTTTATTACAGAATCTTTCTACTGCTGAGGATCAAAATATAGAATTTAAGGGTTGTGTGTGAGAATTCCTGAGCTGCATTATCTGATTTTTGGGAAAGAAGGTGTGATCTCAAGCGTGGCTTTTCGTGAAAATGAAATGGCCAGTAAACCTAAGCTTTTGAACCACAAATAGCAATAGCAATATACATTTCGTGAAGTGTCTGAGGGCTGTGTTGAACCGCCAAAGGTGTGCGAACAATCATAGAAAATGAATAGTGTGGTTGTCAAATTGAAGATCGATGGATTAGCTCAGACATTCATACCTGAAGGCGGATAAACCACATGTATTCTGGCATCTCTCGCCGAGACATGTGCTCTAAAGAAGACTTCCAAATATTCTTATTCATAACTATATACAACTCTTTTATATTCAATATCAAGCGGAGCGGCTCAACTTGCTTATCATTGCATCTTTATGAGATTTGGTTCTACCTTACCATAGTTTAGTACCATTGCGTACAATCCGTAGCACAGAATCAATCGTTGGCGATCGCTCTTGACTTGTTCTTGACAGACACCACAACATCTTCGGAGTCTACCCACTGCTCATTTAAAATCAGGTACGGTTTCAAACTTTGATTTGGATTGATGTCAACAACAGAAGGAAGGTTATTAGCATCTTTTGCAACGCAGGGCGTGTACTATGGGTATCGACATGCTAATGGCGCCTTACCGTGCAATAGTGCTGAGTGCATCTCTTTCAGGACTCGGGGTTTTCTTGGGATAGCACTGGTCAAGCTGGCATTGGTGCGATAGAGGGGGGGGGGGTGGGAGGAGGGAAAATTTTTTCTTGCTTTTGCATTAATTTGAAAATTACCCATTATGTACTAAGCTACAAATTTTCATGCAAAAGCTCGATATGAATCTTGAACATGAACAATAACAACCATGTGTTTTGTGCCTAAAGGTTGCTCAAGTCCATGATCAATATGTTTACTAACCTCATGGCTGATGGAAAAAAAAAAAACCATTTCGTGATATGTACATTATAGTAAATCACACATGGCATCGAGTTGTCTCATTTTCAAGCGGCTTTCAATACAATATAAGGTTTCTTTGGGATTTGACGAATGAGTTTGTGTCCCATGTTGAAATTAGCTTCTCCTTAATCTCTCCATACAACAATTGAATGTTAAAATTTCAGATATGAACAAAACCGAGTCATGGTAACACATCTTTCTTTCATGTAATGGTGATTTTAGCAATAACAAAGGCAAAAAAGAACTTTTCACACGAAGCAGCACAAAAGGACAACAAGCCAAAGCCTTTTCTCTTTTAATTTCGTTGATATCACTCTTTCCTCTTGAAAACCGTTTTTGCTTTTTAACGCAATCCATCGTCTATACAGCTTTTGATACAGCTCAGCATCAGTGTATTTTCACCAACACCTCCTTTCTTCCTAATAAGTTTAATATCTTCTCAACGAATTGTATATCTCCCCTTTTATATCATGTTGGTCAACCATCATTGTTTATTACAGCAACAGCAACTACAGCCACAACAGCAATCGCCATATGTGTCGCCTAGACAACATACAGTGACGGCAGTCGAGAATGAAGACGAGGATGACGATGATTTGAAAGATCTAGACATGATTGAATCACACAATTACAATAGCAAACGAGCGCCCAATTCCTTCTTATTGTTCAGCGCAAAGAGACGCCATGACCTTCAGTCTGATGGAAAACAAATCACTACGCAACAACTAGCAGAGGAATGGAAGAACATGACAAAGGAACAGAAATCAGAATTTCAAAATCAATCACAATGTATACAGTTTACCTTGGACATTGATAATCGTGCTCCAACTACAGTCAACTCACGGAGAAAGCACCCTTTTATACCTAAAATTGTAGTTCCCCCTCCCTCTTCCATGGTGATCCCCAACGATCATTCTGTCGATTCTTCTCCAGTTAGCAGTCGAGGCAGAGAGGATGAAGATGAAGAAGATTCTTATTTCATGCAAGACACTTCAACCTATCATCTTTATCACCAGCCTTATCAGCATCAGCAGCAACAACAAGATCAGCATCAGCATCACTATAGCCATCGTCAGCATCAGCAACCTAGTCATCACCATCATATGCCGAATATATTGATGAATTCATTTCAACACAATAGCAGCAATAACCATCACTCCCATTCACCACATTCAATGTATTCAACGAATCAACATCACCAAACACAGCGTTATTACCATCATCATGCTTCTCCTCCACCCCCTCCAGCTCTACAGCATCCAACTACTCGTATTGACAACCACTGCCGCCACTACCAACAGCAGCAGCAACCACATCATCGATCTTCATATCAGTATCATCATTTAATGAATGACACTTCTCCAATAGCCTCTCCGCCTACACCTTACCAGTTTCATCAACAGCGCCAGATATATCCTTCCAACAATTCCAGTAGTTGCAGTAGTAGTAGTCAATCCAACACCAACACACCTCCTCTCACTGGTTACACCTCTGCAGCTAATAGCACCAAGCTCATTCCAAATCTATCTTATTCAGCAGCAGCTGAAGCAGCAGCTCTTGAATCACTGTCATTCAATGAAGAAAAAGCACCACTCCAACAGCAACTACAAACCCCAACCCAGCCACAACAACAGCAAAAAGCACAGGGGAAAACTGACAGTAGTATAACAGCTGAACCACCATCCTCCACAGCCGCAGCAAACACCACAAGTCAAAGCACCAAGCGAAAGTATGGCATACTTCCAGAAAAGGTGAAGCGACCGCCGAATGCATACCTGTTGTTTAACAGGGACATGCGTCGTCAATTGCATGATGTAAACCAGGGACTCAGTTCTGGTGAAATCAGTAAATCAATCAGTCAGCGTTGGAAACAGCTTTCATCTGTGAGTTTCTCGACCTGTAGCCATTCTTTACTCGCATAAACTGACTCTTGACATTATAGATAGAAAAAGACTTTTACTTTAAAGAGGAACAAAAGTTGAAAGAGCAGCACAAACTTGGACATGACAACTTTATCTACACACGACGATCAAAGGCTGAAATGAAGCAAGCTGGGCACTTGAAGAAGCAGCAGCAGCAGCAACAGCAACAACAGCAACAGCAGCGGCAACAACAGGTCTACCACCAAACAAAACCGACTTCACTACCACTACCACAGTCTCCTCCAAAACCTCAAGATGCCACCGCTTCATCTTCTACTGCAGCAGCTCTTAAAAGGTTGGCCAGCAACAATAAAAGGAAATCAACCAATAGTGTGGGGCGTGATCCGCGTGGCCGAAAAAAGAAAAAGGCGGATGATACTTTACCAAAGCATCCCATGTCTGCTTATTTGCATTTTGCCAAAGAAATGCGACCCATCATGAAGAAGCGATTTCCAACTGCTCGTCTTGTGGAGATCAGTAAAGAGATTGGAAACGAATGGCGTGCCATGGCTCAAATTGATTTACAAAAGTGGATGGACATGGCTAATTTGGATAAAGCGAGGTATGCAAAGGAGATGAAAGAGCGTATCATTCATGGCCAGCAGCAAAAAGACAGTGTGATTGTCAATGACGATACTCAATCGTTCAATAGCAGCCGTAGTAGTATCAGCAGCAGTAGCGGAGCAAGCAGCTATGAAAGCAACTCTCCATTATTGACAAAGAAGAGAAAGTTCTCCTCCATTTCTTCCAGCTCAACATTGAATAGCATAAGCAATGCATCAGCAACAGCTGCCTCAGTATTGGATGATTTGGATAGTGACATTATTGCAACTGTTGCACAAATGGTTAATCCAAATGCTTCTCTTGCTACTGCTGCCAACAGTAAATAGGAGTAAACTATGATTAAATTATTGCACATATATTATATCCCTTTATACACTTACCAATAAATTCTATATACTTTTGTTCATGTTATCTTCTGGAATGTTGATGAGAGACAGCGCCATTTCTTCAGGTTTGCTTAGGTTTGGCACATATTCTGGCCCTGCTATACAGCAGGCAATACTTGTTGTCTGCTTTATCTTACCTGCTTACATGTACATGTCTAAAAGAGAAAATAGTTTACTGATCCTCTTCACAGCATACAACTGGTGCTTCTTTGAGCAACGGGTAAGAAAAGCTCCAATGAGTGATAAATAAACTCGATATATCGAATTCATTTTATTCGATTATGATATTGCGTGACGAATTTTAATCGTTCAAAGGTGCTATCCTCCATACTAAACATTGCTTTTTGTGCATAGTAAGCTTGTACGAAATTAAAAGATACATCGAATGGTACCACTTTTGAAAGTAATCCTACAGCTTGTGCACAAAAAGCCAAATTTTTCAAATATTTTCTGAAATACATGTACCAAGTCTGCATCAGTATAGCTTAGCGATCTTTATTGTGTAGCAACCCAAAAAATTATCTATCGTTTTTTGGGGTGTTACTGAAAATTGTCGCAAATGATACTACTGTAACTGTCTAACAGATTCATTGGGCTCATACAGCCAATTACTCTGCAAGGAGATTGTGAAATCAAATAAATCTATAATAGCCCTATGCATTTATGGCCGAGGAAAGGGTATACTACTACTCCTTAAAGCATACAATGTTGATATATCATTTCTAAACTGGATCTTTAAATGCGTAGAAACAATCAGTTCAAGCGTATATCACATCAGATCATAAACTTTGACATGAAACAGGATTCAGTTACGATCCGAATTATGGCATGTTCAGAATAATAGATTGGATCTATTATCCTATCATCCAAATCAATCCATCTAATACCTTATCCTCACATCAAATTTCTCAATTCGAATAGTATATAAACCCTCTTATTTCCAATGTAATAAATGGTATTTTTTACCTGATTAATTTCATACTCTTATAAATAATTTATTTCTGATAAATCAACCAATCTAACTCTTTGCAAATACATTTTCTTTTAGTCGCAGTAATAGAAGCCTACAGATCAGTCCGGTTTTTGGATTGCTACGGCGTTCAGACTTAACAGATGACAGAGACGAAAGAGAGAATAGAACAAGGTGTCTTACCCTAATCCTTATACTCAAATTACCAATATAATACTGATATTATAAATGATTTCAAAGAAGATTACTCATTTCTTTATTTTACTGATGCTGAAGCAAACCAGTTTGTCATTTTTTTCTTTAAAATTAATTGCTCCCCAACTATTTCACTACTTTATATTATATTTGAAAATTAAAAAATTGGAAAAATAAACTTGTCATTCATAATGCAAAGGTCAGTTTCGAAATAGTAACTTCTTCACCACAATCAAATAGACATGAGTAAATTTGAGACTTATACCAGACACTTATCAAGAGGCCATCTTATTGGTCAAACAAATTTCGAACTCAGATATCGGAGTTTTTGGTTAATTTGAAACCCCGTTATTGCCCTCTAAACGATGGTGCAATTGAAATTTGCGTAGGTAGGGTGGTTGTTGAGAAAAGGGAGATTTTAGAAAATAGTTCATTTTGAATAGGTGCTGCTAGTAAAACTTTTTAAATTACTATATGAATGTGAGATGTATGTGTAGTGAAAGTTGTAGAGGGTACATTTTTTGACTAGGACATGTTTGATGTGAGGTTATGGAAAGTGATGCCAATGAGTAATGACGGAAAATGTTCCAAATGACCGATTTTCAAAGGGCCATATCTCTGAATTTTACTAAGTGAACGAGAGCTTCAAACTTAATAGCTTCTGTTTCTTTTTCAATTCTCTATACGATGGCATGGTTATTATAGATAAATAAAAAAAAAAGTTGAAATCCCCTGCTTGTAGCTCATAAAATATATGATTTTGAGCAAACTTATGAAGAGAACGTACAACTGGTACTTGGAACTTTTATATTATAATGGATATAACATAAAGCTATCGAATGGTCTTTGTTTTGTGCGAATCCAGTGAGTATTTGTCGAGATATGGTCAAAAAAGAGTATCATGCAAAATCATGGATTTTTCTTCAAAATCTACGTGTGATAGCAAGCAAAAAATTGGGTGACCTTTTTTTGGTCAGGACAATATTGTCAATATTTCATGATAGAGTCATACCAGAGCTTCAAGCAATAGCTCATTCAACAGGGAATTCTTTGGTCTATAATGTTTAGTAATGCTTAACAAAATGTTTTGATGACAGATACTAATTAATCTTTAGAAAACAGTCAAAAAATGGCAAGATGTATCTCATTAAATATCAGGTGAACAATGTACACCAGAGATTTGAAATAAATACCATTGTATTTTCCTTGCAATTCTCTACAAGTTTCATATAAGTTTGAAGGGGTAGTTACTATCAAGAAACGCATAATCTTAAGGTCGATAGATTTCGGAATCCCATGGATCATCATTCAGAACAATAGAAATTGAATCTCCGTTGAGCTTCCACATATGTACACGACACATGTATGAATTTGACTGAGCATTTTAAAAATCGGAGCGTACCAAAAGGGCCATATTAACTTGCTGGTTTCAAGTTATCAATAGATACTTGACATGATGAAGAATCTTGCTTTTAAGGTTAGATAGCTGTAACTTGCTTTGTTCAATAATAATAACATTTGCAATTTAAAGCATGCATATTCCACTGCTTAAAAATAACATCTCCAATGTTGATTATCTCATGAAGTATGCATTTCCAATATAATGTTCCCACTAAGAACTTGCTCCAATATCATTATTCTACAACATATTTAAGCTTGACGAGATTCTAATTTTTTTACCTATGAGGACCTGGATGTACAAAATGTTTTTTAATTTTGAGGTTTTCAACTTTTGGACGATCGAAAATCGATTTTCTAAATATTGATGTTAGAGCCTTGAGACTAGCATGTCCCTATACCAGTTTTTTGCCCTCTAAACGATGGTGCAATTGAAATTTGCGTAGGTAGGGTGGTTGTTGAGAAAAGGGAGATTTTAGAAAATAGTTCATTTTGAATAGGTGCTGCTAGTAAAACTTTTTAAATTACTATATGAATGTGAGATGTATGTGTAGTGAAAGTTGTAGAGGGTACATTTTTTGACTAGGACATGTTTGATGTGAGGTTATGGAAAGTGATGCCAATGAGTAATGACGGAAAATGTTCCAAATGACCGATTTTCAAAGGGCCATATCTCTGAATTTTACTAAGTGAACGAGAGCTTCAAACTTAATAGCTTCTGTTTCTTTTTCAATTCTCTATACGATGGCATGGTTATTATAGATAAATAAAAAAAAAAGTTGAAATCCCCTGCTTGTAGCTCATAAAATATATGATTTTGAGCAAACTTATGAAGAGAACGTACAACTGGTACTTGGAACTTTTATATTATAATGGATATAACATAAAGCTATCGAATGGTCTTTGTTTTGTGCGAATCCAGTGAGTATTTGTCGAGATATGGTCAAAAAAGAGTATCATGCAAAATCATGGATTTTTCTTCAAAATCTACGTGTGATAGCAAGCAAAAAATTGGGTGACCTTTTTTTGGTCAGGACAATATTGTCAATATTTCATGATAGAGTCATACCAGAGCTTCAAGCAATAGCTCATTCAACAGGGAATTCTTTGGTCTATAATGTTTAGTAATGCTTAACAAAATGTTTTGATGACAGATACTAATTAATCTTTAGAAAACAGTCAAAAAATGGCAAGATGTATCTCATTAAATATCAGGTGAACAATGTACACCAGAGATTTGAAATAAATACCATTGTATTTTCCTTGCAATTCTCTACAAGTTTCATATAAGTTTGAAGGGGTAGTTACTATCAAGAAACGCATAATCTTAAGGTCGATAGATTTCGGAATCCCATGGATCATCATTCAGAACAATAGAAATTGAATCTCCGTTGAGCTTCCACATATGTACACGACACATGTATGAATTTGACTGAGCATTTTAAAAATCGGAGCGTACCAAAAGGGCCATATTAACTTGCTGGTTTCAAGTTATCAATAGATACTTGACATGATGAAGAATCTTGCTTTTAAGGTTAGATAGCTGTAACTTGCTTTGTTCAATAATAATAACATTTGCAATTTAAAGCATGCATATTCCACTGCTTAAAAATAACATCTCCAATGTTGATTATCTCATGAAGTATGCATTTCCAATATAATGTTCCCACTAAGAACTTGCTCCAATATCATTATTCTACAACATATTTAAGCTTGACGAGATTCTAATTTTTTTACCTATGAGGACCTGGATGTACAAAATGTTTTTTAATTTTGAGGTTTTCAACTTTTGGACGATCGAAAATCGATTTTCTAAATATTGATGTTAGAGCCTTGAGACTAGCATGTCCCTATACCAGTTTTTTGCCCTCTAAACGATGGTGCAATTGAAATTTGCGTAGGTAGGGTGGTTGTTGAGAAAAGGGAGATTTTAGAAAATAGTTCATTTTGAATAGGTGCTGCTAGTAAAACTTTTTAAATTACTATATGAATGTGAGATGTATGTGTAGTGAAAGTTGTAGAGGGTACATTTTTTGACTAGGACATGTTTGATGTGAGGTTATGGAAAGTGATGCCAATGAGTAATGACGGAAAATGTTCCAAATGACCGATTTTCAAAGGGCCATATCTCTGAATTTTACTAAGTGAACGAGAGCTTCAAACTTAATAGCTTCTGTTTCTTTTTCAATTCTCTATACGATGGCATGGTTATTATAGATAAATAAAAAAAAAAGTTGAAATCCCCTGCTTGTAGCTCATAAAATATATGATTTTGAGCAAACTTATGAAGAGAACGTACAACTGGTACTTGGAACTTTTATATTATAATGGATATAACATAAAGCTATCGAATGGTCTTTGTTTTGTGCGAATCCAG